AATTCGAAATTGACAAATGAATAAACGAATATCGAATATATTCGAGATTTTTAAATTTCGAATAATCGAATTTCGAATAAAATTTATTCGAATACTTTATTCGAATACTCGAATATTTATTCGATTCGCCGGCAAAGTCCCATCGTCACCTCCCCGCGGTGCCGGCTGGCAACGGGGATCAACCCCGGCAAACGACGAGGGCACTGTCCCGTCAGGCGGAGCGACGCGCCGGGGACTGTACGAATCAGTCGTGTCACATGCATCGGACTATTAAGGATTTTTGTCAAGCTGCTAGGGCGTCCCCCGGAGGCGACGCGCGTCATTGCCCGCATGGCGCGAATAGTGAGCTAGGGCTACCTGCCCCCGGACGAGGCAGGCCAAAGAAGCGAGTCCAGGAAATCCGACTAGCGACGATTAATATAGGAACGCTGACGAGCCGCAGTCGGGAGCTATGCGATAGGCTGAAGGAGCGACACGTCGACATCGCATGTGTACAGGAAACGAAATGGAAAGGGAGGCAGGCTAAGGACATCGGCGACGGATATCGCTTATACTACACGGGAGATAGCAGCCGCCAGAACGGAGTCGCGATCATCGTCAGCGGTAGATACCGCGAATTAGTGACCGAAGTGACGCGCATTTCAGATAGATTGATGGCGATGAAGATCGAAGCAGATGATGCCACGCTTCGAATAGTCTCGTGTTATGCCCCGCAAGCCGCATGTACCGAAGCCGAGAAGGACGTGTTTTGGAGGGACTTCGACATCCTGCTAAGGACATTTGACGCTACAGACTACATCTTCGTAGGAGGCGATCTCAATGGGCACGTTGGCCACGAACACTATGGATTCAAGCGATACCATGGTGGAAACGGATATGGTCAGAGGAATGAAGATGGAGAACGCATCCTGGAAGCAGCAGAAGCACACGACTTGGCGATAGCGAATACATTTTTCAAGAAGCGGGAGTCACATTTGATCACGTACGCGAGTGGAGACCGCTCAACTCAGATCGACTACTGGATGCTGCGCCGATGCCACTTGCCGATGGTGATGAATGCGAAGGTTATACCCACGGCGACACATGCATTTGCGCCACAACACCGGTTGCTCGTATTGGATCTTCGACTGAACATCCACTTACGTTCACGAGCCAGAAGGACGATTACAAAGAGGATCAAATGGTGGAAGCTCACCGAACATCGCCAGCAAGTCAGAGATGCTCTTAACCGTTTGAGGGTGTCGACGGATGATAAGGAGTCGATTGAAGAGCAATGGAATTGGATTACTTCGCAGCTACGATCGAGGGCCGAGACAATTTTGGGAACCACCAAGCCAGGACGCCGGTTTGTAGACAAGCAGATCTGGTGGTGGTCTGAGTCAGTCCAGCAAGTGATCAAGGAGAAGAAAGAAGCTTTCAAAGCCTGGCAACGCTCACACTCAAATGAAGACCTCCGTCGGTATCGAGAACAGAACTCGAAGGCGAAGCACGCGGTAGCCGAAGCAAAGGAAGCACACTACAAGAGACTTTACGACGAGCTGGAAGGACCTGCTGGAGCGAACAAGGTCTACCGACTGGCCGCTGCACGACATCGAGCGAAGCAGGACATCGACCACGTCATGCACATTAAGGACGCAGAGGGCAACCTCCTGACGAAGCCGAAGGCAATACTCAAGCGGTGGAGTGAGTACTACAAAGGGCTATTTAATGAGGAGTTCCCGCACCCGTTAGTACCGCAAGGAGCCCCCACTTGGACCGGTATCTCGGATCGAGGAGGCAGAAGTTGTGCAGGCACTGAGGAAGATGTCTAGCGGAAAAGCTCCGGGACCCGATGACATACCTGCTGAAGTGTGGAAGATGATGGGGCAGCGTGGAGCGGCATATCTCACATCGCTCTTTAACCGCATTATCGTAGACGGACAGTTGCCGCGAATCTGGACTACGAGTATTACAGTCCCTATCTGGAAGGAAAAGGGCGACGTCAGCGACTGTTCAACATATCGACCAATACGCTTGCTATGCCACACGATGAAGATCTTAGAACGAGTCATCGACGCACGCATTCGAAGTATAGTGGAGGTCACCCCGAATCAATGCGGCTTTGTAAAAGGGTCTGGCACCATCAACGCCATCCACGCGGCACGATTGCTAATGGAAAGGCACTTGGAGAAACGGATTCCGATTCATTTCGCATTCCTGGATTTAGAAAAGGCATTTGATCGGATACCACACGGGCTGATCTGGTATGCGCTGAGACAACACGACGTCCCAGAAGAGTACGTTCGCTGGATCAAACTCCTCTATACGAACACGACGGGCGCCATACGCTGTGCAGTGGGAACGTCAATGCCATTCCCAATCCAAGTCGGAGTACACCAAGGATCGGCTCTATCACCGCTTCTCTTTATACTGTGCATGGACACGGTGACCAAGGACATCCAGCTGCCGCATCCGTGGACGCTCCTTTACGCAGACGACGTCGAGCTAGCAAGCGGATCGAGACAAGAGCTTGAAGAGGCGACTGTGAGATGGAAGACATGATTAGCGGAATATGGCCTACGACTGAACGTAGCAAAGACCGAGTACCTGGAATGCGGAGAGCAAACCGATGGCACAATTAGCATCGATGGGCAGCCGCTGAAGAAGGTCACGACGTTCAAATACCTGGGCTCCCGAGTGACGTCGGATTGCGACACGATCACTGATGCTCGTGCTAGGACGAACGCGGCGTAGCTAAAATGGCGGCAAGTAACAGGAGTACTCTGCGACCGACGAATACCGTTGTATCTCAAGTCGAAAGTGTATCGGATGTGGTGAGGCCAGTCGCACTGTATGGAGCCGAATGTTGGCCAGCAACAAGAAAACACGAGCAGATCCTGAGCACGATGGAGACGCGAATGATTAGATGGATACTTGGCCTAACGAGAAGAAACTGCGTCACGAACGATGATGTACGACACATTTTCGGAGTTGCACTCATCGCGGATAAGATGCGAGATGCCAGATTACGATGGTATGGTCACGTTTTACGAAGTGAAGATAATACAGTAGCAAAAACAGCACTTCGTCTAGATCCACAGGGGAAGAGACCACGTGGCCGTCCGAAGCAACGCTGGTTGGACACCATTCGAAACGACCTGCACATTGCAAAGCTCAGACCACAAGAAGCAGCTGATCGACTCAAATGGAAGCAAAAATGCACCACCGCCGACCCTGCACCCGCGGGACAATGGCGAAGATAAAGAAGAAGAAGAAGAAGAATATTTATTCGATTCGGTCCAAAGTATAGTAGGTGGTACACGACAACAGATATGTGTGAATACAGAATTGCTGGAGTTGGAGTTCCATTATGGTAGAGTCCTAAACCTAAGTCCGTGTCGTGCCTTAAACACCAGCATAGGCGAGCGGTTGTCGCGAGTGATTATGGACATCTCAATCGTTCATTTTGTTGCGGCTAACATTCATCTTGCTTTCTATTGCATCTTATGTTTCAGCCAAAAGTGACTACAAAATTTTATAAAAATAGAGTAGGAGACTATATGAGGCCATTAGAGTCCACCACGCTGGTAGCTGGTACAAATCTGTATGCCTGTAATGTGTGTAGCTGCGCGTTCTGTCGCAGGTGTCCCCGTGGGGCCAACCCTTTCGGCGACATATAGTCCTCCACCCATCCAAGTACGTCTGAATGAGATGCGCACTCACTATCACCTGCAGAGAGCATGTAGCGTTTCGGGACCCAACGTCTCCAGCCGCTACGCGCAATGGTATTCAAAGCTAGGCGCGGACAAGTAGATTTTACATGGCCTTATATAGAGTGAGGTCGAGCTAACAAGGAAAGCGTGTTTAATCGAAGTGGCCTTCCCACATGTCACCTATGTCACTTTTTAGAGCACTGAACGATGACTCTAAATCCGTCTTCCTTATCTGCCAAGTGCCTCCGGAAGCCGAGTTATGAGCGTTGAAAAATTGAATGCGCAACTGGGACAAAATCGTTCAGAATTGCCCAAATGGTCAAGTGATAACTACCAATCACTTAATTCAATGAACACCTTCTATTCAATACCTTCACACTCAACGCTCTAGTTGAGAACAGAAAAGATTGTAACCATTGTTTTTGCATAAATTTTGCGTTCATTTTTTGCTCCAAAACCACTCATAACTCGGCGTCCAAGCGCTTTGCAGATAATAAAAGCATATCTGGAATCAGCGTTCAGTGCTCTTTGATTTGTATAGGAATCAACTGGAAAGGCAATTTCGAATAAACATGCTTCCCTTGTAAGCTGGGTAAGCCTTTAAAGGAGGAAACGAGCCCCTTGCTCATTGAGGCTGCTGCATGACGAAGGCGCAATATTTTCGGGCACGATCGCGGCCTTATTAGCCGCAACGCGCATGAGGCGCAGAATTCACAACGGTGATGATACGCGCGTGTCGCGTTGCGACCGCTCAACTAATACTGCTTTGCGCCTTGTCATGCAGTAGCCTTTAGGCTAGCGGCTATTGCTTCGAATCTACGCAAACCATGCGCTCCTATGATGTTAGTATAGCAGTTGCAGCGACCGGAAAATTTCGTCGAACGAATATCGAATAATCAGCATTTGAAAAGTATTCGAACGAACGAATATTATTCGATTGGTTATTTTCAGATTATTCGAATTCAAATATTCGAACAATGCTACATTTCGAAATTTGAATGAACGAACATTCGAATAAAGTAGTATAGTAGTATAGTATAAAGGCCTCTTCATATATTAGACTATCGAATATATCGAATAAATGGACTTTCTCAAATATTCGACTATTCAAATATTCAAATGGTCGAATAGTGCGAATAAATCGTTCGAATACGAATATTTGGTTCTAGCTCTAGGTGCTCGACTAGCCTTCGCACCCACTTGGCAAAGATAGAGTCAGTCTTCGCAGGGGAGTAGACTTTACGAAAACATTGTGTGCTTCTGTTGAACTGCTGTATCGTAACATGAGTATATCACTATCATTCAGATATGGTTCAGTTTAGTCAATTAATCAGTTTTTCTAACAAAAATTTAGAGAAAAACATAGAAGACAAGACACCGACTGCGCATATGGAGGAAGAAAAATTGTACTTTGATGACAAATACATCGATTTTTCCATAAAAGTTGAGATAGAAGATGCGGAATGTTTTTGTAAGCGCCGTAAAATGATGTTAGTAGCAATGTACGCTATTCATTCAGCCGGCAGCACCTCATCACAGTTTACGTTTTATATTGGAACTCTGGACCATTATAGTCGTTTTGTGTCGGCGTACAGAATCGAATTTTTTGAATTCGCATGGAACGCCGAAAACAACACCCGATCGTTCATTGGAAGCGGAAAATCTCATAAGGACTACTCATGTTTCTATAAGGTAGGTATGTTGCAATATTGGCCCAAGGCTCCAACTCTGGAAGCGATGTTTGGACGCATTTTGAGATTGCATTTTTTTCTTGATATCCGTACCATGGAGTTGAAAACGGTAGAAATGAAAAACTTTTGGACTGGTGGATAAAGGAAGAATAAGGGATTCGGCGTCTTCAGTACCCCTTGCAAACATGCGCCGAACGCACACTACCTACTTCATAGTCGAAGAGGCAAATGTATGCGTTCGAGCCTATTACAGTAACTTGCGGGGGCCAGCCGTTTACCAAGTCAGTGCTTTTATCCTCCCAGATTACTCTGGTACCAATTTACCGGCCCCGAAGGGTAGAGGGCTTTGGCCCAGGGGCGGGGATCGAACTTGTGTCCGATCTGGTCATGCGACGCCTCATACCGCTACGCCACTCGTCCTCCGGACTGGTGGATAGCAAAGGGAAATAATTTACTAGACAAGCTTGCTTTATTGAGTGATGTTAACCATCACACTCAAAGCGCCTCCTTGGCACTCTAGATTATCCCAACACTTCTGATCAAAAGGAAAATCAATGACAGTGCTCAGGTTCCGACGTCGGGTTTCTCCCACATCTCCAAACCTTGAAAATGGAGTTCAAAGTCTGTAAAGTGTCGAAAATTAGTCCTTCAAGAAGCCAGGGCTGCTTTGCAGGGAATCACCTTTCGTCCACCAAGGCCTCGGCAGAGTTCACGCGACTTCATCTCCGCGATTCTTCTAACAAAACAAACAGTAATCTGCATGCCGGTCATCTTGCATGTCGTTTGTGATAGTGTGATAGTAGTAGATTGACCGTGCTGGAGAACTATCACAACCGACATGCAAGGTGATTGACATGCAGTAGACTCGTAAGTGTTTGGTTTGTCAGGCGAACCGCGGCGATGGAATCGCGTGAACTCTGTCCGAGGCCCAAAGGCAGCATTAGGCCTAAAGCATGCATTAGGCCTAAAGCATACTTCTTGCGATTTCCTTGAATCGCTACATTAACGCGACTTGACGATTCGCCAGATATCTGCAGATTCACCGTGCACCGGTTTCAACTGCATAGGCACATAGCTTCTTTGAGTTGTTGCAAAAGCATGAAGTTTGACCTAAGTAAAACACGCTTACAACCAGTTATGAAGAGTCGTTTCAGTGCCAGATCGCGCGGCGACTGAAGTCGCGTGAGGTATGCCTTAGGTCTTAACATCCTCGCTGAGAAGGGAATCGTAAGCTTTCAAAAGAAGCTTCATATCGTGAAGCTCCAGATGTCTGGATCTTAAGCTGTCTACCTATCCGCAAGTGTTCCTGCTATCCTTCAATTCAAACATACTGAACACGAGCGAGTAGTTGTACAAGCCGCATTTTTCAACTTTTTGTTTGGTTCTCTGATGATCCCCAGCGGCTGACCGTCTTTTCTCCAAAGTCACCTTCCTTTTTTTGAAGTTGATGAGAACACTCCAAATTTGTAATGCTTAGAGTGCCTTCATACCGCGCAGGCAGCCGCCGCTAGCAGCCCGTAGCAGCCCGTAGCAGCCGCCAGCAGCCGCCAGCAGCCCGTAGCAGCCGCCAGCAGCCGCCAGCAGCCACCAGCAGCCGCCAGCAGCCCGTAGCAGCCCGTAGCGCCGCTGGCCGCTTTTGTTATAGAGGCGCAAAATCATCAGAATCATCAAAATCTCACTACTTTGAATGCTCTTGCCTACGCTTTTCATCTTCCACGCTTTTTCTTCTGTTACCGCCAGTGTGTAGTTCAATCTTACATATTACATTTGTGTTCATTGTTCTGCTGCCGCACATTGCACTCTGTCGGTGCCCAAATTTACTTTTGCAATCTGTCTTGTCTGAATGTGAGCCATTGTCAAAGTTGGAAGAACCCACCCGCGAAATTCGGAGAACTTGCAAAATAGTAGAATGCCATTTGGACATGCACCGATAGCCAAGAAGGAGATTGAAGCAAAAGCATACTCAAAAAGTAAACAAATTGCACAGCTGCAGGAACTGGACGCATTCAAAGTCAGAGGGAATCACAACGGAAAGAAACTTCTGCGAATTATGGTTCAGCAGGATGATCGTGGGGCGACATTATAATGAAATGGAATGAATATGATTTGTGAGATCGAACTACCCACTGACGGCAACACAACAACAGGCAGGAGCACTCAAAGTAGTTTTCTAATAATTCTGCGCTTCAATAACAAAAGCGGCCAGCGGCGGCTACGGGCTGCTACGGGCTGCTACGGGCTGCTGCGGGCTGCTGGCGGTTGCTACGGGCTGCTGGCGGCTGCTGGCGGCTGCTAGCGGCGGCTGCCGGCGCGGTATGAAGGCACCCTTACCTAACCCAATACTAAGCATGTTTCTGGCAGAAACAAGTGATTTTTTGAAATCCGAAAATTTTAATAATCCCGAACTTTCGAAAGTCGTTCATCGTAATTTTCATGACTCCGACATTTGTTTCTATCATCAACATGCTTAGCATTGTTGGGTTAGATGATCGGTACAACTATGAAATGTTTTCATCATCTTTGAAGAAAGAAAATTTTGTTTTGAAGAAGAATTTAGTTTGAAGAAATTAGAGTCTTAATTTCAAAGAAGCAGCCGGCTGCCGGGGATCATCAGGGGACAACACAAAAAGCTGCAAAATGCGGGAGCTTCAAGATATGAAGCTTTCTTTTAAACTGCGATCCTCTCCTCGGAGAGGATGCTAATGCATGCGGCCTTAAAAGGGAGGGCTTGGCCGTATTCATCCCCCATTTCCTATCAGAGAATGAGCCACGAAACTTTTGGAAATAGACTGCATCTTATATATAAAGCTGAATGTCTGTTTGTCTGTCTGTCTGTCTGTATGTATGTATGTATGTATGTCTGTGTGTACGTATGTTCCGAATAGAAAATTCCATTTCTGAACCGATCCGGACCAAACTTGGCACACATACACTTCGGGCCCCGGCGGGTGTCATAGGCTACTTTTCGTCATCGAGCGATATCGATTTTATCGATTTTTATCGATTTTTTGTAAATTTTGACATGCGATTGCACAGGGGGGTAATCGAGCATGCAGATTACGAATACAATATTAGTTTTCAAGAACGTCCATTACTTTTATCGATTTTATCGATTTTTTTGCAAAGTTTGAGCTAGGGGGCTGGGAGTTGGCACAGGGGGGTAATCGAGCATGCTGCATGCTCGATTACACCCCTGTGCCAAATTCCAGCCCCCTAGCTCAAATTTTCAAAAAATCGATAAAATCGATAAAAGTAATGGACGTTCTTGAAAACTAATATTGTATTCGTAATCTGCATGCTCGATTACCCCCCCCCCCCCCCTGTGCAAACTCCCAGCCCCGCAGGTCAAACTTTACAAAAAAAAATCGATAAAATCGATAAAAGTAATGGACGACCCTGAAAACTAATATTGTATTCGGAATCCCCATGCTCCTTTTCCCCCCCCCCCCCCCGGTGCCAACTCCTAGCCCTGTAGGTGAACTCTGCAAAAAAATCGATAAAAATCGGTAAAATCGACATCGATCGATAACGAAAAGTGGACTGTGACACCCGCCGGGGCCTGAAGTGTATGTGTGCCAAGTTTGGTCCGGATACGGCGGAGCCGGGTAAGCCAGCTAGTAAGTTATAAGATTGTGCATGTTTGCATTATGTCGCCCCTCCCCTCCCGAAACCAGGTGAACTAGAAAAACTGATACAAGCAGTAGTGCAATCCCAAAAGATAACGGGTTCCCAATGAGAGGGACAAAAGGCAGATTCCAGACCCTCCGCGACTTTCATTGAAGATCTAATAAATTGTCCCAAAAGTAGTCTCCTTTCCTGAATAAATCAAGCTGTTTTGTTTTCCTAAGGCCCCGGGCAGACTTCACGCGATTTGATCGTCGCGACTAAGTCGCGACGAGACAACTGTTACGACATCATTCCATGCCGATCAACTTGCATACGGTTGTGATACTTTTCCAGCCCGAAATTTTTGAATGTGAAATGAAAATGAATGGAAATCTTGGCGATTAGATCGCGACGATTAAGTCGCGTGAAGTCTGTCCGGGGCCTAACAAAATTGGAATGACGTTTGATAGAGCAGATCAAGCTCTACAAGAACCTCAAAGATCCGCCTAACTCGCTATCCATGTGTTTGAACCCAAAACCGAAAAAAATTTTATCGCCTATAAGTCGGATTTTTGCGAGGAAAATCTTACGGACCTTCACTGGTCATTATATAGTAGACACATGGTAATACTCAAATATATTTTCACTGGATTTTTCCCGTGCATAGAAAGCGAGAAAAAAATAGCCCAAAAAATCAAACTCCACCACCAGTCCCAGATATGTCATTGTATACTACAAAACTTAGTGAGTATAATCTTGAACCTCTACCCTTGTATGTGCTGTTATAATCGAGAAGTACCAAATTTCACATGAAAAATCCGAAAATTGGCAAAAAAATTAGCATTTTAGCATTTTCAGACCGTCTTTGTTTCTTGGTTTTGAGCCTAGGAATCCATCAAATACGTTTTTGGATACTACCGTGATACTATATGAAGATCAAGCCCGTAGGAATTTTCTGGAAGGAAATCCGATTTTTTGGGTAGTTAAAAAAATTTGATTTCTACCTCCAGTTTTTACCTGGATTACAACTCAGATGGATTTTTGCTGGTCATTTTTATAGCTTGTTCCCTCTATCAAACGATACCCTAATTATTAGGAAAATAAAAAAGCTTAGTTTATATGAAAATGGAATTCACTTTTGAGACAACCTAACATTTTAACTATTTTAAGGGCCAAGCGCTTTGGAGTTGTATGGCACCAATTCTATCGTAGCATTCTTGACATTGACTTGAAGCGTGAAAATTCTGTGGTAAAAATATGCATTCCCAAAACACTCTACGCTTTTAACAATGAGCGCGACCTGAGGTTCCGTCCAGAGTTGCCTGTACCAACGCCGTGCCATGTGCCATGCCGGCACGTCGGTCGACAAATGCGCGACTATTCCACGTAAGTATTGGAACGGCGCTGGCACACAGGCAATTTTGGACACACCAGTTTCATTAGGTCTGGCGAAAAGGAGACAAATTTTGTCTTCAAACGCTTTGCCGGACTAGCAAACATGATGATCAAACATTCTAAGGCAATGCACGATTGCGTTCCAAGAGCCGACGTGATATTTATTCGATTCGACAGCATACCAGACGCTCCTTGGGCAATTGAAAAAATAACAGTGCGCCTAGATTTCAACACAGGACATTACGGCGTTTACAGGTGAGTCAAATGTGTCAAATGTCGAGGCTACTTTTTTGAAAGAAGCACAATTCAGAAATATGTGGCGATTCGACCACCCCGTATTGATGCCGTGCAGGTCTTGGCTAAAAGACAATCACATGTATCAGATTGGTCCGCGTACCGGTCTATTTATCGAACACGAGTACGATTACTTCCCGAAAGAAGGAGAGTGGATAAGAGATTGGGTCTGATACACATCGAGTTTCACAAGTTCTTGTTGTTGGTTACATGTTATCGTTCAAAACATATTCGGACGTTCAAAATGAATTATTTCGTAATCCTGTAGATAAGAAGAATGTCTGTTTGTATATGTACAGTCTGTCCCAATAAGCATCAGGCCAACGGCTGGCTAAAATTTGCGCGCTAGCAGCGCCAGATGTTTGCGCTGCGGTGCTATTTGCGCTTTAGGCCCCGGACAGACTTCACGCGATTTGATCGTCGCGACTCAATCGCCGACATTTCCATTCATTTTCACTTCACATTCAAAAATTTCGGGCTGGAAAAGTATCACAACCGAAATGCAAGTTGATCGGCATGGAATGATGTTGTAACAGTTGTCTCGTCGCGATTTGGTCGCGACGATCAAATCGCGTGAAGTCTGTCCTTAGTCCTGGCCTTAGGTAGGTGTCCTGGCCTTAGGTAGGTGCCAAACTTACGAGGGAAGTACTTTCAATAGCCGTGGTCGTTTGATATGAGATGCATACCATCAAGCAGGTATCTACAAAGGTTTATTTCAAATCTGCTTTCCCTTTCTGCGGAACGCTCTTCTGAAGAGAATTATGGGAGCCTAAATACCCTGTTTTGGGGCGCTCTCCTTGAGTTCGAGAACGCTGCTATATGCGTTGTTGGTACAGTGGTGTAGGGTTAGTTGCCGGCATTGGAGGCGAGAGGGTGACGGTCAAAATCTGGTGGAGCGAAGCATTTTGCATCCTGAGCATGAGTTTACTAAACACTCTAAATCGTCTGCAGACACTTGTTGTAATGCCTTAGCATATGTGACCTAAGGAAAAATTTTTCTGGCAGAACTACTTGCTGCTTGTCGAGGTTTGTTTTATCCTGCAAAATATTTATGCACAGAGGTGAAGCGAAGTTAATTGGGCAGAAGACAGGCATTTTTCACAATGGAAACAGCTTATGAAGAAAACCTCTGCGCAACTCATGCACGGAGGTACCCGTCAAGCTAATAGGGAATCAATGCTGGAGTGCCGTTTCAAATGCTCCCAGATGTTCATCGAAATACCCGTTCACATACCAAGAGTATGCAAGAAATTTTTACGGGGGATTTAAAATTGATGATATGAGCGACAAAAGCCTCGAAGAGTCGCGACTCCGCACGACGAAATCAAGATTAGTGAAACATGAGAATTGCGGCTTATACATCGTTTTGAAAGATAGAAAGAAGTACACATCTAAGGGGATGCCAAACGTTGCGCCGAATGCTATTCAGAATCTGGGGGGCACAGCAGATACGATAGCCAGAAAATGTTTTTCTTAGGTCCGCGATCTTGCTATGACAAAATTCTCTATTGGTACGACCTTTTGTCATCTTTCTCATTTTGCGAGGCCTTCTTTACATCTTCCAAAAACTACTGTTATTACGAAATCGCAGACTCCACTCCACTTCTATTTCCGTCCAACGTGACGCCAAATCACATCAATTTAGTTGCGCCGCGTCGGGTAGAGGACTATATGTCGCCGAAAAAGGGCGGTCCCCGCACTCATTTGCGACAATTACGCACCTTTATACATGCGCGGACATGCGTTCCTGCAGGGAATCCGCGTGGGACTCTTCCAAATTCGGCGACATATAGTCCTCCACCCCGCCGCGTCCTGCCGAAGTACTAAAACCTATTGCCCTAATTGTAAGAATAGAGGATCCGAGCGCGCTTTTCAAGCATTGCCGAACTAGCTCAAACGAATTCTCCCCTGGTTTAAAGTAATAAATAAATCTAAGTGAGATAGAATGCGATTATAACTTGCTGATCACATGACTGAAAATCCGCCTGAACCAGTTTGAACACGCCTAAAACGCCGGAATTGCCAAAGTTGAAATGCACCGATATTGTTGATCAAATAGTGCGCAAGGATGCTCGTGTTTCTTTAGTTAGAGAATGAATGATATGTCTTAGGCCCCGGGCAGACTTCACGCGATTTGATCGTCGCGACTGAATCGCGACGAGACAACTGTTACAACATCATTCCATGCCGATCAACTTGCATTTCGGTTGTGATACTTTTCCAGCCCGAAATTTTTGAATGTTGAAAATGAATGGAAAAGTCGGCGATTGAGTCGCGACGATCAAATCGCGTGAAATCTGTCCGGGGCCTTAGTCATTGTCGTTACATATTTTCGTTTGCAACTAATCGGCTATAATGAGGATCAATAAATTTAGCGTCTGTCCTGGTTTTTGTCTTCAGGTTTTGCAAATCCAAATATCTACCTACATTTGTTGTTCCACCTTCGATGTTGCATCAGCTGCTTTTCTGTTGTATTTCTCAATGCAAATGATGTTATGTAAGGCGGGTTACTTGTGACTAAAATATATACACAGCACGCGCAGTGTTTCACCGTGCTCCAATATGCCAATTTGCAGGCATATCGTCTGCGCTTTGACAATTCCGGTGTCCAGGCGGGTTCGGGTGGATTCGCACATATTTGGGCGGGTTTGAGCGAAATCGGACGTACATATTTGGGCGGATTTGGGCGGATACCGGCGCGGTCTGAACGATGCCTCAAAATGAGCGATAGGCGCTTTGTGCCGATATCTTATTTGCAAGCTCCTACATCGAAAATTTCCCTTCATTTGTCAGCCACTTCACAGTGGCCGATTCAATGGAAGAAAAAAAGAAACCTTTCAAGCTACATTGGTCTTATTGGAACTCGATGTAAAGACTGTGAAGAGAATCATACTAGGGTCAAAAAATTAGAGTATCAGCTATCTCAAAACGTTGATCAGCTTCATTTGAGCGCGAAATTCGCAAAGATGGGAGATGAAAATGAAAATGTCAATCATTGATAGATACATCTCTTCAAAAAAAGAGCTTCAGAAACATTTTTCATAAGCAACCATAAAGAGAGGAAAAACATCGGTGAACGTGTACAAAGAGGTTAGTAACAAAATTGCAGAGTGGCATGGAAAGAACGTCAATTTATAGATTATTATCAATAAATATAACAAGCAAATTCGCGCATACATACAGGGTGCAGCAAAACAAATATGTAAGACAGATTTCTGACTCGTTCGTTTCCAGATAGAGGAGGATTCACGTATGAAAAAGCTCGCTTACAGCTAGAGGCTTTCAGACATGGTGAAAAGTATGGACGACATACAACAATTATCACGTAAAAATACAAATTATATTATAGACCTATATCACCTACTTTGCGACTGTTGCGAATTACTAATATGACTGTTCATAGAACTGCAATACACACACAATATACAGTCCTTCCAGAGGCAGAAAAACGCTACGTACCCGAACAGAACTGCCAGTACAAAGTAACTCTGTGACCGTAAAGGGGAGCTCACTGGCAACGAATTTTTCGATGATTAGCGAGTTAAGGCGCATACGCACACTACAATGCCACCGACTTTGACGGCGAACTTAGTTGGTCGTGAATCCTCACTGCATCAGCAAAACCTCGCGGTCGCGAACGATCACTGTTCAGCACTTGCGACACGGCTATTGATACGTCCGAGTTTACTGTAAACATACAGAATCATCTTGCAAAATCTTTCAAATCATTAATCGTTTACACACTACTATAGAAGATTTGCGCCTGTCCTCTCACTTTCAACAACACGTATAAAATTCAACTGTAGCAAGAAAATCTTTTACACAAATGACATCACTCAATCACTGCCCAAATTTGCGTTTTTACTCTAAACCTCTTCGCTTTTTTTTAAAACAGCATTCATACAGAAGGACAGAAATATGGCGTATAAAACGATAAACTCCACATTGAGAATAGCGAAAGCGGCAGTAACAATTGGGCCTAATTTTCTAAATTACTCGCCACGATGTCGTTGCGATAAAACTAACAAGAATCTAACAAACGACTAGAAGCGAAAATATCAACAAGACACAACTTACATTTCTGTGAGGCTATAGCATCACGAGTAGCTTCTTCAAAGCTGGCCTTATATGCGTCTGATGCAGGTGATGTGGGACTATTCACCCGCGGTGATCCTGCAAATGTAAATATTTTTCAGAGTTAGCTGAGAAGCCAGGAAGATATACCAAAGGGCAATATTCAGGCTGTATCTTTAGAAGGTAACGAGACTCAAAAGATTCCAGTCATGTTAAGTACATGAGAATGACGAGAGGGATATGCATAGGCATTTCAGACTTTACACTTATAAGAGTAAGAAAACCATTATGGGACGGTATATATAGTGAGCCTCACTCTATCAGCCCACTTTATGTAGCTATTAATCAAACGTTTCATATACACATTGATCGATGTATTCACGCATGACTAGCAGACGAAAACGAAAAGTAACGAAAAACGAAATCTCTTCTTATCACAAAGAAACTTTGAAAGGCATCATATCCCTCAGTAACAAACCTTGAGCTGATTCAAAAAGATTACAAGTCGATCCATCTCGCTCTCGTTGTGCATTAGGCTCAGCACCAACCAATGACATTGAAGTACCAACAGACTGAGTTTCGGGCATACGAAGCTGCTTTAGCTGCAGAAGAAATGTTATGACTCAAATTTAAGATATTCAAGAGAGTAAGATATACCCGAATATGCCCATCCTTCACTCCATCCTTATCCGGCACATATAGAACAGTTGTTTCGTCAACTTCTTCTGTATCCTGAAGCATAGAAATGTTCATAGTTCGCTACATAAGCAACTCATAGAACTCACTCCTTTTTTCAGCGTTCCATTGACTTTCGCATCTTCAACGGCTGATCGGTTCTTACGGCCTCGTTTGGCAGCAGATTCCTCATATTTTGTGAAGCTGCAAGCAACACAGATTGATAAATTTTTCCCCCGAAAACGACTTAGAAAACAGCATTTCAGAGGACGTTTTAGCGCAGTCAAACTGTGCCAAAGGTTTGCGTTACAAAGCTAGCGTCCCTATCAAGCAGTGGCGTACCGAGGGGGGGGGGCGGGGGGGGCGCGCGCCCCCCCCGAGAACGGGTCGCGAAATTTTTGAAAGTTACTTATATGGGTTATAAAATTGTGCAAATGACTTGTCTGCACTTGTAAATAATTAAAATAATTTTTAAAATTTTTCAAAAATTCATTTTAGCTTTATAAAAAAATTTTTTTCGGGGGCGTGGCTGACGCCACGCCCCCTTTTTCCAGATTTTAGGGGTCGGGGGCCCGCAAAAATTTTGAGAAGCACCCCAAAAAATTTTTCGAAGTGCGTGGCTAACGCCACGCACCTTCATTAGAAAAAATTTTTTGTCGCGCCCCCCCCGAGCCGAAATCCTGGGTACGCCACTGCTATCAAGATATACGATTCTTACTTCACATAGGATGCTTGCAACTCTAGCGGAATCGAAACTATTACTTGCTTTCGCGATATAGGCAAGTAATATAAACATACGAAGGAAATTGGCTTCCACAAAGTGTTCGTCGAATGTTACCCATGCATCCGACAGTGAACGGGTTATAGCCAGATTGGAATTTTCCGGTTACCTATACACACTATATTTAGCACTGAGAATATTTAAGCATGACGGGGATGTACCTGTTCATTCGTTGTTCGTCCACGAGAGACGAGAACTATATGGAAGATCGTAAGTCCGATAACAGGTACAGATAATATGGCGCATAATGCTAACAGCACGATAGAACAGAGGTTTGGTCGACTCAGGATGTCCTCCCTTAACAAAAAAAAGTAAGTCATTTATGGATATTGAAGAAGCATGTTCAACACAAAAATTTGAAAATCGTGAATATGTTCTCTTTCTGCCAAAATGAAAACCGGAAGTTGATAGCTCAAATGATTCTAGAACACCTAGCAAATTTCAGGGTGTACACCAGCGATTTGGCACAGATTGACAACTAAATACTCAACAGCCCAGTTTTTTTTAACACTGCCCGAAAGAAAGTGGATCGAACGTGAAACAATTTTTGAAATGGAAAGTTTACTATGAGAAAAACGACAGTTGCTAAAACATGTTTAATCACCTATGATCTAATTATAGATGTAATCATAATCTCCCCCACAAAAAAACAGACATAGCATACCAACTGCTAAATTGAAATATAGAAGAACTAGGATGGATGTTAAAAGGAAAACTACGTATAAAAATACAAAAAGAAAACTTGCCTGTGTGCAAGAGTATAACCAAGGCATACCGAGGCAACATACAACATGTGTAGACTCAGAAAACAAAGAAAAAAGAAGAAATATCTGTAATGAAAGGAAGATACTTGATAAGCAATGCCATGACATCATAGTATGATAACATACCTATAATTTCGCCTTCCTACGCAATTGTGAACCCAGGGGCAATGATGGTCAAATGTGTCAATGCACCTAAATCCTTGCACTTAATGATAAAAGAAACTGTTATTCTGATGTAACATATAATTAAGAAAGAAAAAACTATGAAAGTCCTCAACAGTTTTCAGCTCCACTGAATCCAATAATAAAACACAGCTAGCAACGAAATACCCCCCCCCCCTTCTTACCATAAAGTAAACTAAAAACTGCTACAAACCTGTTGCACACAGAGCAATGACTTGAACGAGGTGGTCGATAGAACTGACATGTTACGCACCATTTCATCCGTACTGTTATACCATTAATTTCAACATTTTTGTACAAAGGTGAACGGAAATCGTCCGTATTCATTTCTTCTGTAGCGTATCCTACAGAGAAATTTCGAGAAGGGAATAGGAGAAGCAGTTTAATGCAAAAATGAATGGTGATTCGACTCACCGTAGGGATGGATGCCCGGATCCATACACATTGCCATGACCAAATTCGAGATCACCATAAGAAATAGGAGGAGATCAACACCGCATAACGCCCATCCATACCTATAAGCAAAAATACTGGAGGATACATGGGCAAAACTCGATGCAGCGATAAAATAAGCTATAAACATCGCAAAAAACCTCTCATAACTTTTTACTTCTTACATGTTTTCACTAAGAAATCCCATCCTCAATTAGGCAATGTTGAGATAATAAAGACAAATAAAGTATAGAAGAAAATTAAGTGAGACTAACCATCCCCATCGAACGGCAACGGCTGGTGCAAGGAAATAGTAGAAACATAGAGTACAGATAACAATCAGCGACCAAGCTATCGCTGCTGGTAATAATTGACCAAGCCGTTTGCACATCCTGAACACAATATTCAAAACATAAATCCGAGACCATAGCGAACCAACAAGCGAAGACTCCACTGTGCATAAAAAGCGAATCGATCAAATCTTGAATACACCTATTCATAAGCAGCATGTTGACAGAAATGAGATAACACAAACGATAGAATCTTCTCATTTGATTAGTTTTGAATATTGAGCGATATTCAAACAACTCAGGATTTTTAATCTACAGTTTGTGTGTCCGCAAGTCTTACTCGCAATAAACATTCTTTCCATGCTTAGAAACCAAAAGCGGTGATTTGAAGCTGAGCAGAGCGCCTAAATGTGTCCTCTACGGATAAACAGAGAATGCAGAGGCTGCCCTATTCTTGGTATAGTATTTTCTAAGCATGCATGCCACCAGATGAACGACGCCAGACATCATGCAATAACCGTCTACTGAATTGCAGAAAGCACAGACACTTTATGTCGTTCATAACGACTATGTGTAATGTGTTACGTACGGTTCGTTCCATGGAACCATCTCACCCTGGTCGCCTTCTACTGCCCAAACTTGCTTCTTCAAATGATCCAACTCACTTCAACGAAATGAAGTGGAAAATTTGAGGAAACGAAGAATGAAAACTTTTAGATCTTGAAATAACTAGGGAGTGTACGAACTCAGGAATAGGATGTCTCTACCATAAAGATGGAAGTTTGGATCTACCTCACAACACTACGAAGTGAGGTAACTCCAAAGGGTGGGGAAGGTACGATGACCTCAAACGTAAAGGACGACGGTAACCAGAAACCATTAGATGAACTCAAAAAACAGTACCTCCGTCCAAATTGAAAACGGGAAGTAATGGATCGATGCAGACTTCCTAAACATACAAACTCCAGTTCCAGACTATGACGATATATCCTGCCTCTACTCAGACTGAAACATACAAACCTCCGGACAATGAATTACGCTCTAGTGATCCGCGCGAATTAATATATAGACGACCATGCGGCGCACTTTGTCCATGCAATGAAGGGAACCGCATAATATTTAGCGTCCGTTACCTGATAATATGCAGTTCTAGACAAAGCACCTTCGTCAAGATTTGTGCTCCCTATCGCCTCAACTTCGCTTAGCATTACCGTCAAGAATCATATGAAAGATTCATGCCAGAAATCTCTACCAATCTTTGGGTTTGTGCTGCCGCAAAAAATAAGGAAAGTTCCCGTGCATGCGATTCTACCACTTCATAGATGCCCAAAAAATATTTATTACCAGACATAGATGCCCAAAAAATATTTATTACCAAACTGCAAGGATATATTATGGACGTGGACCTTTTGTGCCATAAAATTCGCAACAACACTTTGAGCACAACTGTATGGGATTTTCTTTTGCTTCCTATTCTCTTTGATTTGCGTCGTTCATTTCGCTGTTCATATTGATATAAGTGACATATAATAGCTGGAAGCTTAATTAGTTATTGCACTTCCAATTATTTACATCTACCTACTAAACTTGATACATGCGTGTAATGGAGACATTAGCTACTTCAGCTTGACAACGTTTTCCTTACAAAATCACAAGAATATATTAAAACGAACAACCTTCTGACGAGAAACTGCAATAATTAGATTTAAACGTAGCATTCCAATGAAATGTCGCATTTTCTGATGTGCGTAGCAGGTTCTGTATTTCGCCATTTCAGAAAAGTGACCCAGAAAGGGTTTGCTCCCCTATCATACGGCACAAATTCCTGTCAGCATACAAGGAGAGTTTATCAAAAGTTTCTCCAAAATTCTCAAATGAAGGATGAATTAGTGTGCTTGTAGAAGCTGAAGATACGAGTCAAGAAAATAGTGGTCATATTTTAGTACGACTGCGCACATCACGGAGGTTACTCACCTAATAATAACAAACGTTCAAATAGCGTTCCAAAAATCCCGGACATTCGCTGATCAATAGCAAATTATCACACATCGCAACATTGAACACTCTCATATCTACACGTGCTAACTGTGACAAACACATGTTGTCAGCTGCACTGGGCCACGACTAAGCAAAATTTGTCGAGTGACTGTGCGGTTAACTAGGTTTTAATGAGCTCTAAAGCATTCGGATGAGCAAAAAAAGTAGAAACAATTCAGACACATTCATTTTAAGCATAAAATAACAGCATTAAAGTGTTTGCTGTGCCAACAGAACACGCTCTACACAATGCCAAACCACTACGTTGAGTATTGTGGTACCTTTTACACAGCAAATGGAATAGGAGAAAGTAAGAAAAGCTATTACCTTCTTTGTTACGAACAAAAGGTCTATGCAACAAGACAACTTGATTATGGACAATTAGTAGGCCGGACATCTCATTCAAAACGTCAAAGAAAAACAAAAGATAGACTTTTACGACAGGAAAAACGCAAACACTGTATTAAAAATAAAGTGTAAAACCATAGAAAAGACGAAACAAAACGTACCTCGCCGTTTTCAGCGATATGTTCTAGTAGAAGCCAGTGTGACAACGGTCAGCAAGCGTAAAGACGCGTGAGTCCGTCCAAGCAACACTGCAATACGTTACGGCTATGTGATATAGGTAGAAACGATTCAGAGTAATCGAAGCGATGACTATAAAACTGAACGAACACTAAATAATCAAATTTTCGACATACTGACTATGTGACAATAGGAAAACACAAAGAGGGTTGTAATTGCGCAGTAAACTGAGCTTCCTAAGAAATTAGAACAACTTTCTTTTCGAATATTTGTAGGTACCCATTTTTAGGTTTACTTTCACTTCATGAACTCAAAAATAAAGTTGTAAACTGTTTGAGAAAATCTAATAGATGAAAACCGCATTTAGATACAGCATTTTTTGATTATGGCAACAGCTTATACTTGCAGTCTTCAACAAAAAAAGCTAATGAGTCTCCACTCAAACGAAATGCCAAATAAGATAAATCAACCGAGCAGCGAATCGACTGTAGAGGAGAAATATGTTTTCCTACGACACAGATCTTAGAATCGCCTTAGCAGAGGATCTAACTCAATCGATGGCGCTCGGAGCAATTTGCAGATAACTGGTTTGCATCGAGGTGAAATTACCCCATTTCAAGTGGAGAATCATTGAGGAATGCAAGATGAATCACATGAATGCACATTATCTTTTTGACGACATTATGACCACTTCGGGAACACCATCAAGTAGTCTCACATGCACTACGAATGCTGCATCGACAAACGACTCCACAGTGGGTTAGTGAAAAAGACAGCTAAGGAATCTACAACTCTGGCTAGTGAAGGAGATAAGGAGCACTTGAAAAAAGGCTAGAAAACGAGTAAGAAAACCACTGTTTTGTGGTGAAAGCAACTGACACAAGAGAGAAAACGACATAAACATAAACTTCCTAACAAGCACTGCACAGATATTTGAGAAGGACGTATCCAGAGAAGAAACTATATTGTAGCAAATGGTTTTGCAAGGCCGTCGAGAACTGTTGACTAGGCGAGATAACATAATGACGCATAGCCGTACGATAGAAGAAAGCTTGAGCAAACAGAAAATTATACCCATTCACATGCAAGTCTCTCATTCTCAAAAAGGAAAAAAAAGACATGTCGTCATTTCTGAGAAGCATGAAAATTGATTCAGCTTCAAAACCTAGTGACTTTCCATATATGCTGCGTCGCAACAAGGTGATCTGAACGAAAAGATCGAGTGCACGGTCGGCAAACATAAAGCGAGCACCTATGAGGGATCAACGCCACTCTGTATTTGCGTAAGCTGGAAACTTCATTCCACTCAATAATGAAAAGTTCCAACAGACACTTTGAAGTAAAGAAAAATTGCGCTTTCGCCTTGAAAAAACATCAAAGTTAGTAAACGACACAGCTGCGAAGAAAATTATGACTAAGTAGAAAGTAAAAACGCTATACTCCATGAAACATGCACTACTGAACATTTATGAGCTAAAAAACAATGAAGAAAGCAATCTTCATCTGGACGAAAAATAAAAACGGAACAAAATGAAAAGATCATGAAAAACCTGCGTCTTCTTTTTTGCAATACTAGCAGAAAAACTTATAAGTAAAAGCGAGTTCAGCTTTGAGCCTCAAATCCAAGAGTAAATATAAAAAATGCGGAGACACATTTAGGCATATTTTTGGTTGAACAAAGGCAGGGACACCTGCAATATGAGACTTGCACATGTCTAGCCACTAATTAGAGCCGTACACAGCAAGGTATTGATCCAGGAGAAGATCACTTCAATTTGCTTAGAGTGCACTCACTTCAGATATAAGAAATGATGTTAAAATAAACATGATCTATATGAAGTTGTAAAGTGGTCGCTGCAAGTACGAATCTTCGAGCTTGAAAACTTGAGAAACCTGCTTACTTTATGATCTAAATGTGTGTATTATGACCGTCATAGCTCATGTATCCTAACGATTTGCCACTTCTCAGCCAGTTCGGATAGTTTTGCCCGTTGCAATGAAGTATTTAGCACAGTGAGGACATCGCAATTATAGTCTAAACTCGCCAGGAGCCATTGCGATTGTTGTACGCCAACGTTCGACTGGTTGTGCTAATGCGACGAAAATGCACACTAAAATCATTCGTAAGATTTCTTTCTCATCCAACGCAATAACAAAAGCCTGCGCCATGTCAGAACATTTCCAGCGAATGAAAACGTTAATTAAAATGAGTGGCCAAATGCAATGACGGTAGCTGACATAGCTATTTATTGACTGACCAAACCTTATATCAAATTACGGACCAAAATAGACTGTCCTCTCTGCCAATGATTCATAGCTGTGATATTCTCAATTTCTCCAACGTGCAAATGAGCCTTGAGTCATAAAAGAGCATAAAAACTGTGGAGTGCGTGCTAAGAAGACATTATATACGAAAAAGTGCAGTTAGCACATATTTTAAAGGCAAACGCTGAATTTAGAATAGTCATACATGGAATTATGAAGAAGACACAGGGGATGATGGCACAGAGAAGAAGGTTGAAAAAATCTACACGAAAGTTTGAGTGAAGCTACAAATTCAATGAGCTATGTTACTGCACTTCAGGTACATAGTAAATCTAATTTTGGAACTGAAAATAAACTACGCAGCATACGAGCATATGCACCGAAAGCCATTGCATGAATAAAGAATTGCTGCGACCTTTTATCTTAGTCACACGTCTGGATATTTTGAATTCACGCAGTCGAGCCAACAATAACCTAGTCTCTTAATATGAAAGGATCAGAAACCACACGTTGACTCTGTGGTTTCATCATGCGTAAGCCGCTGATGAGAAGTTGTAAACAACAATGCTGTGGTAGAATTTAGCCACGCGAACCCAAAACCCACTATAATGAAAAAAAATCAGCAAAGACGACGAGATCTTCGATATGACCAGCGTTGAAAAATACTCAAAGAATAACAAACAGACGACCTTATTACGAAGTATTATTCTCTCCCTAGGTAAACTGCCTTAGTATGGAAACTAGAGCACTAAAAAAGAGCATCAAATTTCCTAAATGAACAAGATTTTGCAGAGATATTAGAAGGAGCACCTCTGTTTCCGGAACGAAAATCGCCGGTGCATCCAGTGTGCTCATCTGCCGAAGTACGCAATAATGCGAGAAACGCTACACTGTCAAGCAAGATACAGTAGTCAATTATTGCCACTTATTGACTGCGCTGAAGACGTGTAATTCTTTTGTCTTTCTCATGTCTCACAACGTTATCGGCACCGTAACATTGTTTAATATATTGCAATTACAAAACTAGCGCCAAACATCCACACCTAACGATCGATTTCTGGTAGTTTGTATTTAGTTCTACCATACGTACTATGTATGGTTCATCTCCCAAAATTGTTCCCATATGAGTTATGGGGCTGCCTTTCGATCATTTCAACATGTCACTTTCGAATACGCCTTGATTTTGCTAGAGTTAAAGTGTTGAAACGTTCGAAAAAGCCACGCTGATGGTTCATATGGGAACAATTCTGGGGGATGCACGATACATATGTGCGAAATGCACCGATATTAATTTGTGAGGCAACACAAAGGCGATGCGATGACTTGACGATGACTTAGCTATATGACACGCTCAAATATGGGGACTGAATGAGTTGTGGTCATCCTAAAGAAGGAAACCTAATGAAGTTCTTCTACTACAAAATTGTCGACGCACAATTTATAAGCATTGGGCTTATCAAAAATCAAAATAATTAAGCTTAGCAGTATCTAGACAAGTCTAGAATCTAGGTGGGCCTTTGTCTGGTTACTATCATAATTAAGCCATTCCTCAAGCAGCACTCATAAAATTTATTCATGGCCAAAAAACCGTAGAGCGCTCTGATTGTCCTGAAAGAGTACGGCAGGGCAAGAGTCTAAAGCGAAGATCTGGGAAATCACGAATGATATACGATGGGGAGTTGCTGCTAAGTCCTCATAATGATTCTTCGTATAAGTATTCAAAAGAAGTTTTACTGAACATAGCCCATAGGTCTTCACCGTGAATTATTTCAATTCACTTCAATGTTTACGACCGGAAGTTCCATAAGACTGGATGGAAATCGATCAGAACGTAGCACAGTCCCATGTACTTCTGAGTCACGTAATGGACATACGAACACTACAAGGCTTGAGTGTAGCAAACCCTTCGGAAATTAAAGCCATAAATCGTTTATCCTTCAATGGCAATCAGCATCTACAATAAAACGAATAACAACACAACAACAATGTTCAACAGTATTGACTCATGATGTTCCCGGAGAAAAAGACCACTAAAGCAATGTAAATCGTCAAATAAGAAAGCGAGATATGGCATACATAACGATAGTAATGGACAATTTCAAGGTTGACTGCATCGTCCTCGCAGTGCAATGGGAAGCATATAATGGCCATCGATTGCACCATATCCGCTGAATTTTCCGTGCGGTGACGGTCGGGAGGCAAGAAATTGCTGTGACATGTGTCATTTCATCTCGGGCCTCAATTAGATCTCAAGGTGTTGCAAGTTGGCGAAGATGGAGGGAACAAAGGGGCATGAATTTCTTAGAATTACTGACCCATATGGAATGTTGAGGTACAATAAGATGTAAAACAGTAAGACAAATGATTTGCTACTATGACAGATCCTTTCAAATCTAATATGAACAAATGTACGAAGAAAAAAGGCAACTATTGAGGTGATCAGCTGGTTGTGGTGTCTTCATCAAAAAGCAAATCCTTCTGTAATGGGTAGTCCCATGCATGACGGTAGTACGGGAATGGGTTCGTGAACATTTCGGTAGGATACACAACTTCAGTAAGGAACAAGCCTTGCGGCGGAGCTACTGGAATTCGCATCCCGTAGAAATTTTGGCTATCTGGATTGTTGAGAAGCCACTTTATAGTTGCTATGCTTAGACGATCGTAGCCGCAAAAAACCACACAGGACATCATGCGACGGATCTGCAAGAAAACTACTTGCATGCACAAAAGCAATCTCTTCTTCTAGAATCACTACTCCGCCCAAGAAAGGAAGTGAGTGACACTCTTACTGCTGATACGTTTAGTCAAGACAGGGACGCAAATAACAAGCAAACTTGTTAAACATCACTATAGGCCAAACATGGTGAGTTTTCAAAAACAACGTCGCGGTAACGGCACCAAACGAAAAGATTAAAGGCACAAAATAGATCAAAATTGCATTAATAGAGTATAGTTGGTCACTCGGAACCTTTCAATGACCTTGGCAATTATCAGTATGATTGGAATTCACCTGTTCCCGAACGTATGATCGCGCCACGACAGTGACATTGTAGTAATCATAAATATCGTTATCCATCGTATACGGTGCACCTAAACTTCCCGAGATGACATAGCAGAGATATTCAATCACATCATACCTTTGGAAATCTGACAGCATAGGATATTCCTTACGGCACTGGGAGGACTTCGTTCTTTACGTTTATCTCGAGCAGTATGCCTGTAGAATGAGCCCATAACATGCTCTCCTGCAAATGAAAGTTGCTAGATACAAACCAACCACTTCGTGATCTAATGGTCCTTTCAGACCCTCATTTGCTAAGTTCTAAGCTGAATCGAAAAACAGAATTTCCTTTTTTTCTTCCCCTTTTTTGCTTGAGAACTGACCTATGAAAAGCTTGCATGCGTCAGACGCTTTTTCAGGTGAAAAGCCTGGAGGAAGTCGCCAAGCATAATCCTTCTCGGAAAAGCAAACAGTGGAAGGATGCTCTTGCAGTGACTCCCACAAATCCCAGTTCCGCACTACAGCTAACCGATAAGTGTACTTCCTGAAGACAAGGATTAAGCTGATGATCTTCTTGGACTTACATTGGATTTGGGCTGGATAACCACTAAATTTATTGAGAAATTACGAACCTGTATGCAACATGCCTTCGGACACAAAATCCTGCGGATACGCTGTGTACGTTGCTTACTTGCATGGCACCTGATCACAGCTTATGGGAGAACTCATACAAAACCTAGCAAAGAATGACGGACCTGGTGCAAAGGTCTCAATAGTCGTATTCCATTTTCTCAAGCAAGAAGCCTTGTTCTCGGGCGTGGCATCAAGTGTCGCGAACTCCAAAGGGATTTGACAAATCAAAGCATTCCTTAGTGCATGTACACCGGCATCTGTTCTGAGCACAGTTTTCAGAATAGAAAAATTGAAGCAACCAGCAAAAACAATGCAAAAGCCACTCATTCGCTCATACGACCATACCAGCGTGTACAAAACATACCTGCTACTAGGCGAAAGCTTGAGAAGGTCGCAAACAGGGTTATTATCGGGTCTTGATCCAAATAATGCATCGGAAATGGTCTGAAATCATAACGTAACAGAGACTAGTACGAATAATATTGGTGCGATCGTATGGATAAACTTTGGAAATTCACAAAGGATGCTTAAAGCCTCATGACTCTACTCAGTTACTCATACATGGTAAACTTAGTTAGTTGTACAGAAACCAGACTTTCGGAGAAAAGCTAACGTTAGAGCTTTGCTGGGGTTCTGGCGAAACCTCGCACGTCCGTATCACATGACGGATAGACCCTTGCATTAGCCAGGCCCATGGAAAACGCAAAAACACGGGGAATCAATAACCATTTTTCGTTGATGGAAACTCGTGTAACTCAGATATTTACCTGGTACAGCATATCAACTACGCCAAAACCGGTGCCTCCCGTTGCCATTTCTGGAAACCGTGAACCGTCATAGCTAGAACACAAATCCGAGAATTAGGAAAAGATCTTGAGTAATTTGAGCATTACCTGATCCATAACAAATAACGGCGCACCAAAGGAGCAGTCAAAACAGGAGCCTTGCCAGCCAGCTAAGGATAAAAGTCGCTAAAAACACATCAAACGGCCCAAAACAGAAATTTTGGATAAGAAATCCATAAAAATCAACGTGCAAACCTGCACTCAAAATTTAATTTTTATTCTCCAACAACAAATTACTACAAGTGTACAAGCAAATATACATTAATATACATAACTAAGCTACGTATTGATACGAATTTGGATCTTCATCACATCGTCGTAGATAATCTCTCTCTATGAGCGAGCCTATTCGTTTTTTCAAATCTGCTGCTCGAACCGGGAATCTGAAAAAAGATATTATAAAACAAAACATCAATTCAAGACAGCATATAGATTTACCTAAGCTGTGCGAATAATTCTGAGATCAGCAGCTGATGGTTGAGCTTTTTGCGTGTCTTCATGACACGCACAATGGCTGCATCAATTTGGTACTGTCGATCTTGGTTGACTTCTTCTTCTACCGCTTTGTATTCTTCTTCCTAAAAAAGACCACGTCTATTTCAACACAGAAAATATGCTGGCCCATTAACAAACCGTTTCCTTGATTTGTACTTCTGAGATACGGATGCGGAAACGCATTTCTTTCATATCTGTGTTGACAGTAAATACATCTGTGTCATTGATCTAGATGGAAATGATGTGGTGGAGTCAGCTGAATGTTTTATAACGAATGCTAATCAAGCTACTCACCTCTTTGTTTGTCGGGGTTTTGTGCAAAACACGAACTTTGGCGCATGACAGGGATACCATTGTTCGAACAAATTCCTTTTGTTCTAAGTAAAATAAAATTCACAGACTACCAGTATGGCGCAAAAAAACTTACCTAGTTTTGTGGCCATCATGATATCGGCAGCTGTCCAAGATGGTTGATCATTGAAAAGAAGTAACACTATTGCTTGGAATAACGACACTTTCAGTTCTTTGTCACACTGAACATGAGACCATAGAAAAGGAAAATTAGTATAATTTATTTGATCTTACCCCTGGTCGGAAATTCGCTTTGAGAACGCATTGACCAAGTCGTGGTTGCCACTGGAGCTTGCGACCCGTATGTCGCGAATCATAAAATTTCTCATAAAGTTGCAAACACGCATTCAGCTGCTTCGGTAAAGTGACCTAAAAAAGAGAATTTCCGTAGTTTCGGTTAACTTACATGCAATTCCTAGAACTGCCGGATTCGGCAATGATATTGCTCTTACTTGTACGGTTTCATAAGCCGGCCACTGTCCCATTGTTAGAACATTGACATTACACTCAACAATCTCCCCAAGACGTCCCAATGAACTTTCATGCAAAGTGTACTGAATTCAAAGTGTCATGGAAACAAACCTATTCGAACAAAGTGCAAGTTAACCTACATTTCTAAAGGCAACACCAAGATCCTTCGACAGTTCCATATCCTTGAACATACCCTCAAGCTTCTGGGTAAAGCCAGCACCGCACTCTGAAAGCGTAGTGTGGTTTTACTACTTTTAATCGCAGCACAGCCAAAAGCGCTCCAATAAGAGTGATAATAAAAGCACAAGATTACTGGTATACCTTGTCTCAGTTTGCTAAGCATGATTTTTTCTGCATCAACGGACGCACTCCTGCCAAGAAGCAGCCGTTTCGCAAGATCCTTCTTGTAAAAGACTTCGAATACGTCTTTTCCTAAAACAGAAAGAATCGAATGACAACAGATCAAGTGCGGACGAACGAAAAAAGATACTTATGATCGATAGTAACACATACCTTGAATAAAACGGAACAGCGTTATCACTTTGTTCATAAGCTGATCCAATTGCTCATCGGACGCTTCCTTGTTGGCGCTGCGCAACCTCGCATCCATATATTTGGCTAAATTGGAAACATTTGTTATTTCAAGCATACAAGAGTCCACATACCAATCAGTTCAGCAGGTTTGTTGCCGCGCGTGTTGATGAAATAATCAAATGCATCTTTCTCAGCTTGTGCGAACTTCATCCTTTCGTCTTCGTTGCCGAAACATTTTTCCACTGGAAATTAATGCAGTGTGAAAGATCTACAACCTATCTTTATGCTAAAGCACTCCCAAATTGGTGGTAGTGTGGAAAGGAATAATTTGACTGATCTCACCAAATACATCAAGCTTGTCTTTGAAAGCCATGAGCTCTTCAACCATAGTTGCATCGCGCTGAGGATCCATTATCATTGCTTTACCAACTTGCTATAATTGGGATAGAAGGCAGTAAAAAAAACACTACCACTGCTATTTGTCAAATGATAAAGGATGTTTTAGCTAACAGGAGTTTTGCCCAACCTTGATGTAAGAAGAGAATCCCGTCTTCAGAAGAGCGACACCTCCTTCCACCCTATTCAGTAGCGAATATAGTCTCGATACATCTTGTACACGATTATCGGTCAATAAAGTTGCGAGGCCTAAGAAGGGTAACTTTGAAAACAACAGAAACGGTTTCCAAGTCCAAAAATTACCATTATCCACAACATCCTGCATATGGTCTGTAATCATGCATTTCTCTGCTCTTGTCAAAAGAGGTGCTCTGGTGCTTTCATCCAGATAAAAATCAACACGTTCGTTCTCTTCTTTCAGTCTTCGCTCGATATAGAGTAAAAATTCGACGGTCTAGAAAAGCCGCTTGCAAGACCATAAACTCGGCCGAAAATTAAATCTCACCTCAAGTGTACGCACTAACGACATACTTTCAAACGTATAATGCGCGACAGTGTTGGTCAAAAACTCTTCTTCGAAAGACTTAAAAGGGCGAAATTTTCAACTTACAATTAGAACAAAACCACTGGTAAAGCTACCTGCTTGTATAAATCCAATGTTCGCAACATACGCAGTAAAGCACGAAGTAGTGATCGATCCACCTTAACGAAAAGTTTAATCATCATTTTTCCGGTGATACATAGGAAACTATTAGCAAAGTCCTTGACTAATGCAAACTCGATTATCATGGAATTTGAGGTTCCGATAAACTACAAGCGATTGCCCGATGTCAAAACTTAAAACTCTTTTCCCAACTTTATACGGTATGTAGATCAACAGGTCAAAGAGACGTACCATATAACGAAGATATGCAGAAAAAACACATACTTGATCTCCAGCTCTTTCTGCAGCTATACATTCCAAAATTCCATCGACTAGCTTCTTGAGTACGGACCCATATGTTACGATTTCTTCGCGGAATATCACTAGTGAAGATTCCCTGCATTGTAAAATAGTTGACGAGAATTATGACGGAATTTAGTTGACGATTACCATATTGGGGACTCATCGATATTTTCGAGAATGAACGTCCTATCAAGATACAGAAATACATTGCGTATAAGGATCTGCAAACAAACAAGAAGTAGTTGGTTGAAAGACACGCAAATGAATTCCAATAAAGATACCATTTGTTGGCAATAATCACTCCATAAGCTTTCCACAGCTTTCATAAAATCAAGTCCTCCTGCACTGATTTTCTCACTCAAATCGCTCCTGAAACGAATATTGAGCACTGAAATCAAGGTGCAAAGGAAAGGAAATTATACTTGTTCACTGCACTGATCGTGAGAAGATTCGTGCAAGATCTCACCTAAATCCTCGTATCCATTTCCGTACGTTCTCAAGTAATCTGTCGTATGTCGTTCTTGCCATTTTGTTCTCACATAACGATTCCACAACCTAAATATCACCGATCACGGACGAGATTACATAATATTAAGTGAGAAATGGCGTGCAGAGCAATAACTGCTATCGAAAACTATGAACAGATTGATACTGTTAATTCCCTACTACAATGGAGGCCTTTTTAGTCAAAGCGGCTTTTCGATAAGAAACCTTACAAGACGGGTCTTTGAATGCTGATTCCAAATCTGCTTTACTTTTCTGCGAAACAATTATTCGAAAGGAATAGTGAGTGCTTGGAGATCCAAATTTGCCATGCTGGTGGCAAAAAATTAGCGAAAAGCTGTGCAAAAACAGCTTAGAGTAGGTAATCAAATTTGTGTCGAGAACATGGACTACAAAAAAAGGAACACAGCTTGTGGAAATCCGCATAGGTGTTTTTGCACAGCCTTTCGTTGATTTTATATACTTAAGGCTTCACAAATTTAGAGTGTCAAAGACCCAAAACTTTCAACGTACTGTTAAGCAAAAAAGGACAAAAATTTGAAGTCACTCCCCGATGCTCATGGAGTGATATAGGTGTTATGTGGAAAGGCCACACTTCGACTACAAAAGCTTCCCTTGTAATTAAGCCTATGTAAGGTGACGTAGATAGATATCACATAGCTAACAAAATGTAGGAAAACGCAGTTCTCGCTGACCTTATAAAGTTGTTCCAGACTAGTAATGATATGTTGTTTCTTTTGTATAGCATTTATACTATCCTCTAGAGAACCCCATCCGGTGGTCAATAGATCTGCCTTGTCGTCGTTTTTTCCTGCACATATAAGTAGAAATAGGCAAAACGCAAAAGCACATAATGAGCCTTACTTCGAAAATTTTTGATAGTCAACTTCTTCACAGTAGGAAGTCCTCGAGAGATATGCCGAATAGCTCTAGCTTCCACCTGAAAACCATTCATTTTCGAGAACGAAAAGTGCTAAAAGCCAAAGATGTACCATGTTTTCCACAGTCTCCTCGCGATCCTTATCAAGCTGTTCTTCACGTGCTCCATCGATCAGACGCTCAAACATGAGTTCATGGTCAGCTTCACCAAACTCTTGACGATACATTTCAGCAGAATCCTCGTCACTCAACATGTCATCACTCATGTCTGACATTTTAGGACGTTTTTGTACCTGGAAAACATGTTCTAATGCTTTCCACATTGAGGAATAGTGGGATTTTTGCTTCCAAAGGCTTCCGAAATTTCCCGCAGTGAAACTTGCTCACAGCATCAGGGAAACCAAAGAAACGAGTGTGAATTCATGAACCTGCTGACATGGACCAAATCCCCGTTCAGGACTATTTCACGTTCGATAGCCGTACAATTTCGCACAGTTGTTGTTCACACCGTCATAAGAGTTTTTTCTTTGTGTAAGCAACTGATCTCGTCCGCATCAACTCATGGAAGGATGCGTAGAGAGGATCTGTGTTTTGGCCATGGAGACTTGAGACATGTTGAACTGACTAAGGCCATGGGCAAAGTTCACGCGATTTCATGGTCGCGATTTATCGCTACAAGCATTGCGAGTTCATTGCATGCCGAATCTTGACTAACTATCACAACCGAAATGCAAGAAGATCGGCATGCAATGAACTCGTAACATTTGTTTTGCAGCGATGAATTGCAACGAGGAAATCGCTTGAACTTTGCCCGAGGCAAAAGGCCCCGGACAGACTTTCAATCGCCGACATTTCCATTCATTTTCATTTCACATTCAAAAATTTTGGGCTGGAAAAGTATCACAACCGAAATGCAAGTTGATCGGCATGGAATGATGTTGTGACAGTTGTCTCGTCGCGATTCAGTCGCGACGATCAAATCGCGTGAAATTTGTCCGGGGCCTAAGGCCTCGGACAGAGTTCACGCGAATTGATCGTCGCGATTCAATCGCTACACGACAACTGTTACGAATTCATTGCATGCCGATCAGCTTGCATTTCGGTTGTGATACTTTTTCAGCTCGAAATTTTTGAATGTAAAATGAAAATGAATGAAAATGGCGGCGATTAAATCGCGAAGATCAAATCGCGTGAACTCTGTGCGAGGCCTAATATGACGGGGTATCTCCCAGCCGGCTTCTCACATGCCCTTCTTTGGATGCACCCTGACGATAGGATTGTGAGCAGAATTTTTGCAGCACAGAGTAGTATCGAACTCAGATCTCCGGCGAACGTGGAGCACTAATCTCTAGACATTTCCCAAGATCAATGAGACCAATTAAATGACGAAAAACCTAATACCTTCTCTTTAATTCAAGGTCCACAAAAAATCCAGTGCTATGATCAGCAACCAAACTCAACATAAGCTCATTCTGAGCAGCTTTTCTTTGTGTTCAAAAAAAGTAAAAATTTAGCTGAAGAGCCTCTAAAGCTCACTTTCATTTAGTGCTAAGCCATAACAACTTTTTGATTTCTCTGTTTGGAAGCGCATCAACTTATTTACAGAACAGAATAGCAAAAAAAGAAGAAAACGTACTGCTACAGTCTGTATGGGCGAAAAAACCGAGAGTGAACGTTTCTGGGCACCCTTCTGCAGTACAAAAGTGGACTTCTTTGGCGTGACAGATTCAGCAGACGACGAATTCGACTTCACTTCAAGACCGGTATCGCCGTGATTTGTAGATTGCATCCAATTTGTTCTGTAAGAATGAGTGGAACGTGAAGGGAAGCCTTTTACACGCAATAAACACATTAGCACAGAATATTACGACTTTAATGAACAGAAAGTGCTCACGTCTCTCAATTCATCTAAAGTGAATACTAAATCGTACACCTCTAGAATTTGTGATGGACGAATTCAGAAATGCGATTTATTCGCCGTTTAAGAGGTGTACGCAATACACCCACCACACCAACATGACGTCTTATTTTAGGGAGGGGCGATATTGCACGTGATGCCTGCCATACCGCTCTGTCTCGTTATTGAGCGAGCGGTTTTCCAATAAAAAGCTTCTACGGCTCAGACAAATTCACCTTCTCCATGTTGTTCCAGACAAAAGCCGATAGGGTTCATCTGTTTTATAGGCATTTGCTTCATAACATAGTAGGTTGGCTGTAGCTCTATGCTACGTTCACTTTGGTGATTTCGGGAAGTGGCCTCAGAAGTTCCTCAGCAAAGATCTTGAAGCAGTATGTAGCTGGTTTCAATGTACTAATTTGGAGAAGTTAGTCCCGCAAATCGGGGTTTATTAAGAGAGCCGATGGGTAAACAAACATTAAGGATTTTGTTGGTCAAGAATGTTGACTTTCTTAGATAGATCAGCTTTTTGCTACAGAACGAAATGGTTTTAGTAGTCAATTTCACTCACATCTAAAAAGTCCTTGATACTTTTTAAGCAATTTAAAACCACTTATTAGCATAGCATTCAGCGGCGCTACTCCACCTTAGTTGACTCAAAAAATGAAAATCGCGGATTTGGCTGAACTCTTCTACAGGGGTTATTTTGCACGTTGATTACGAAAATCATAATTATTTCGCACATTAGTGCCATACTGTGTGAGTTACGGTAGGTACGGTAGGGGGCTATGGCCACGAAATGCCTCAGACTTCGCCTAGGGGTTATTTGGTGCGCTGAACTTGACTAATGTATTCAGTTCTTACGGTAGCGCCGTTTTCTTGGGTTACGGTGGGCATCGGTAGGTGACTAATTCCGAACTTGCTCAGAACTTTGTAGGAGGAGTTCACAAGCATGCTGATTGCAAACATGTTTGTTTGATGCAACAACACCTTATCGATAAAGGCAGCGTACAAGCAAGTTCGGACACATGGGGATCTCATGTGGATAGTAATTTTGGGGCTCTAACTAAGCCACTGCCCAACCGGCAACTCAGGTATCTCATGTGGATAGTAATTTTGGGGCTCTAACGGTTGAGATATTCCCCTCGAAACTAGACCCGAGGATCGTATTTCGCATGGATTCGTGGCGCAACGCGTGAGTCCTCGCGCGAAACTGCCATGAATCCATGCGAATACGATCTTGGGGTCCAGTTTCGAGGCGTATATCCCAGCCGTTAATGAGTCACCTGCATTGCCGCTTGGGCAGTGCCTTAGTCAAGCCCCCAAAATTACTTTCCAGTGAAATTGCCGTAGGTCCAGATCTGCCTGGACTCTGCCTTCAAGAACACTCTATGCAAAGCTTTAAGCAAATTCGGAGTTTTCAAACATCTACCCACCGTAGTCCGAAAAAATGACGTTATCATAACAATAAATATGATATTATGTTCAGCGTATCATAACCTCTCTAGACAAAGTTTGGGACAAATCTATGATTTTAACATCCTGCCGTAGTCGCACCGTTATTCCCGATGGCACTACCGTGCGAAATAAATGCGATGTTCGTAATCAGCGTGCAAAATAATCTCCTAGACGAAGTTCTAGCGAAAGCCGCAGTATTCCTTTTTTGGGTCAACTAATGTAGAATAGTACCGCATTTACCGATGGTCGCAGGTTTTTGAAAGCAGTTTCAAAAATTCCTAAGTAATTCTACTCTTTATAGGCCTTTTAAACCTAATCGCACGCGCCGCGCCTTGACACCAGCGTTGCCAGACTTATCCGGTTTAATCGGTTCATGCGGGTCACTCCTTCGTTACCAGACAAATGATGAATAGACGAATAGCAAGAGGGTGAGCCAGGAAGAACCGGTTGAACCATCAGTCTGGTGCCTGCCCGAGCGTTCGTCGCGAACTTGTAGGCGTTCACGTTTTCCAAAAAGTTTTCCGTCAACTTCCATGTCTTTTCCAATAATCTAACAAGGGAAGTTCACTTAGTCGAAGTGGCGATTCGGAGGAAGATCTATACCAGTGGATAGAGCTTAGAAAGCTGATCACAGATATAGCTTCCATATCTGCGATGCGTTGTTCTGAAAAAAGTTATGAGCTTTTCTAAAGCCAAATTTTCGTTCATTTTGAGTCGCAAAATCATGATAATCGCTACATAAAAGTGTGCAAGCTCAAGCAAACAACCTAGTAAGCATTGTAGGTCTAACTCGAGTTCATCCGAACGTTTTCGAGTGTTTTCCGACCATGTTGTTCAATCAGAGGCCGTCATTTCATTCCTAGATCACACTTCCATTATATGTACAAAAAAAGTCCATAACCTCCATCTAAAAGAACGTGTCGCAGATATTGAAGATATGTTTGAAAACATCGTTCTACGTTCTATCCATTGGTAGTTTCCAAAAGGTTTCCTACGCGACGCGTTTTTTCTAGATGGAGGTTATGGGGCTTTTTTGTATACATAATGGTAGTGTGATCTAGGAATGAAATGACGACCTGTGGGTGAACAACATTGTCAAAAAACATTCGATAGCGTTCGGATGAACTTGAATTAGATCTACAATGCTTATTAGGTGATTTGCTTAAGCCTGCACACTTTTGTGTAGCGATTATCATGATTTTGCGACTCAAAATGCACGAAAATTTGGCTTTAGAAAAGCTCATAACTTTTTTCAGAACAACGCGTCGCAGATATAGAAGGTATATCTAAGATCAGCTTTTTAAGCTCTATCCACTGGTATAGATCTCCTTCCGAATCGCTACTTCGACTAAGTGAACTTCCCTTGTAAGTATGCTTTGACAAAAACTCCCTTAAAAAATGTAAAAAAATGGGTGGAGGACAGTAGGCTCCACCCACGCGGACAGCTAGCAAAAGGCGAAAATGGTGAAGGCGCGTGGTTTATTGCAAATGCCCGCGTGGGTTCTTCCCTTTTAGTAACCTAATGTTCTCTGCCCAAAAAATATGTGAAGGGGCGCGCTCATTATCGCTTTCAACAAGCTTAGGGCCTAAGGCATACCTCGTGCGATTCGGCCGAATCGCCACTTTCACGCGACTTGGCGATTTTCCAGATTTCTATAAATTTATCGTGCGCGCTTCTCGGATGCATATTTGGGTAGCTTGTGTAAATTGTTGCAAATGGAGCAAGTTCTGACCAAAGACACCGCATTAACGACGAATTACGAAGAGTCGCTATTGTGCCAAATCGCGCAGCGACGGGAATCGCGCGAGGTATGCCTTGGGCCTATTGCGCCTCCGGACCCAACTTCTTCAGCCGCCCCGCGCGATGGTGTTTAAAGCGACGCATGGGCCATTGGATTTTACCAGGCCTGTACAAGTGAAAACTACTCGCTTGCGCAATTTAATAATTCATATGAGGAACTTGCAAAAATTTTCGATCCGTTCTTCCACCTCCCCTCTCTCCAGTCCGCCACCGGCCTGTAGGCAATACCAGTCATGCTGACAGTAGTCAGCGAACTCAGAACGTTATGTACCCAGAGCAGAAGGGTTCGGATAGTGTTGCAGCTACAGTCTAATTAATCGAGAATCAAATAATATTGGGGGATGTTGCCGAGGTGCGATGGAAATAAATAAGCTGGTAGAATCTTACAAATTGCCTATGACAACTTTATTTAACTGTTTATTGTAGGCTTGAGACCGACTTACACACTTACATTCACCAGAGTGCGTGTAAGATAACAGCTTATTGTGTAAACACGTTTTCATTAGCGATATGCCATACAGTGTAAGCAAATTAAGCAAGATTCCAAGGTTTTGAACTTTGCCGTTACCTATCATAACCTCACCAACGGTGCCCATCTGAGCGGAATGGGCGTAAATTTTGTGGTCAAAGCCGTCGAATAATCTGCTGTCTGTCTCCATTGGGCTGGACAGGAAACCCTTGACTATACTAATTCGCACTTCATTGAGTGTGCGGGCATCGCTATACTTGATGGATCACTTTCAATTACACAGGAAATCTTCAAGTCACTAGAGCTGTTATGAGCATTGTACCACGAGAATCCCTTCCAACTGTCTTTTCTGCGCAGTTATGGCATAAATACTGCTGTAACGCTTCACTTCCACTGCCAAGAACAGCTCCCAGCCTTGGTACTTTATCATCATTGAAGAAGAGCAAGCTTGTGCGAAAACGTAGATGCTCCTGAGAATTGTCTTCTACCTCACTTTGGATGGTTTAATGCTTAAATTAGTGCTCTTCATAGCGGTGTTCTTTTAGGTTGGTCATTATTTGAAGTTGCCAAAGCTCCCCCAACAGCACAACACAGAAACCGTGCACTTCAATGAAATCTGTGTGGCAAGCTGCCCAACGCTTCCTCTACCCTCCCGTTTTTTAATGACCTCAACTTACTCTAAAAACAACCCCTCAAGTCCAAATATGCAAGACTCAAGACAACAGTTTCTTGGTGCAAAGTGCATGCGCAGTCGGCTGGTCCGAAAGCGAACTTCGACTGGCAAGCGGCCAACGCTTCCCGCCGCCGATCAATACCGGCTCAGGGTCGTCGGCCACAACGGTTGGCGCTCTTCAGTGTGGCGGTGTGACTTCGTGTGGACGTTGACAGCCTGTTCTCCTTCTTCTTCCGGAAACGGGTGTGATCCGGAACGAGCGCACAAGCCGAGCCCGAGACCACTCTCATACGCGATTCAAATCACGCACGTGTTTTTCAACCAATTACCTCTCTCACGCACTCATCAATTTCGTATCTCGAAATTATGGTCCGCGTATGCAGAGTGGTGCCAAAAGAGTGAGGAAGTTTGCCTTTTCATTTATATTACTTAATTTTCAGCTTAACTTTATCCATGTCACCATGTCCTCTTTTCCCGAAATTTTTTATTTATTTTCAAGTCATAAACTTTTTTTTTACGATCAGATGCTCAAGCATTTGTTCGTGATCATTTCCCAGAACTAGCTGACGTTCTTTGTGTTTTATTTGGGTTTTTCGAATTGCAAACAAATGGTGTACACTTGTGGCGGTTAGAACTGCTCAGTTTCACCTCAACACGTCGATACCGAGAATCGAGACGCGTTTTGTTGAAAATTGATGAATGCCTAGATTTCTATACTATTTATATGAAGCAGTGCTCATTTAGATGGACGAGATACTCTCCTCTTGGAAATGTGATACCGCGAACGCGGTTTATCGTTTTCAAAACACCGTTGAACGATCGTCTGCTTACAAAAGTAGATCGATCCCAGCGCTTCACTGTTCAGAATCTTATGTGGATGGTTAGTTTTTCATTTCTACTTTTTTCGTTTCTAATTTGTTTAAATTCCGTTGTACATCAATTTTCATCTCTGCTATGCTGTTGTAGTTATGGTTTTTTTTTGAATTTTGTTGCACTATCAATATTAATTCAATCGTACTCGTCCACTCTTTCTAATTATTCACATCAAATACAAAACAAATTCAACATGTCCTTCTCGGAATTGAGTGAAGCCGTATTGCTCTTCTGTTTTCTTGCAGAGAGCTTCCATGTTATGCTATACCTCTTTTAAAACATATTTGTGCTATGGTTCCTGTTTTTTGAGTTTACGTGTTTCATTCTACGCTCAACATTGTTCACTTTCATTTATGGCTCTCCAAAGCACGTATTTCAGTTAGCTGAACGTGGCCAGCGTCTGGGACTTGTTGTGGACTTGACAGATACTGATAGATATTATGATAAGGATGAGATCGAAGGGCTGTGCATACAATATCAAAAAATCAATTGCCCAGGACGAGGGTTTGTTCCTCGCAATTGAATGATTTTTTGCGTTCTTATTGATACAGTGTATGTGATTATAGTTTTGTTGATAGAACGGAGTGTGTGTCTGAATTTAATAAAGCCATACAGGACTATATTGATAAAACTGATGATGAAGGTTTGTTCAATAGGAATGCAGATGTCTTCATTATCCGTGTTCGTTATTGCTTTTTTACAGAAGCTTTAATTGGTGTACATTGCACTAATGGTGTTAATCGAAGCGGCTATCTTATTTGTCGTTTTCTTATTGAAAGACTTGGTTGGTCTTCTCATGAAGCTTTAGATGGTGAGTGCATTCCGGTCATTACTCGCATGTTTCAATGATATCCTTGCTGTGCCGTATAGTTAGGAAGGATATCATCATGCTTAAGTTTATTTTATCTAATAACTATCGAATTTTAGCGTTTGAGCGAGCAAGAGGCTACCCAATTGAGAAAGGGTCATACGTACAAGCCCTACACAAAGCTGCCATTGATAGTAGGAATAGAAGGTTGGTTTTTTTATTGCTTTTTCAAACTGTTACATTCATCTGTTTTCTAATGTGTCAATTTTGTAGGGAAGCATCGGATAGCGATTCTGAAGAGCATCGCCGTAAGTCCAAAAAATCTAAGAAGAAGCGAGAAAAAGACGAGGCGAGCTTCTCGGATAGCGCTAGTCAAATGGGCAACATAATGCAACAGTTCTTCGCTCAGTTGCAAGGTGCTCATCAGGTGAGCACTAGTCTACTTGCGTTCCAAATACATTAATGTGAACAGATATCATAGCTTTCTATCTTTAGGCAGCAGAGTCTGGCAACGGATCTGGCTACGATGGGTCACCAGCTCAAAGCGGTAGCTACGCCTCACCAGGTCAACAGCATTGGGCTTATCAAACGAAGGTAGCACTCGAAGTTTTGAAACATTCTACCCGCATTTTTGCAATTTCAGCAACAGCCGCAATCTAAAAATACACCAAACACGGAGAGTCCCGTACAGGATGAGGAAATGGAAGAGGGAGAGGTTAGTAGAATTACTCTGTTTAACTTGTTTTTATTTGCTGTGTTTTTCCAATCTTTTGCGGAGTTAGGGGTGAAGATTCTTTAGTATACAAAAATGTAGTGGAATTATGTAGTCATTTTTTTGTGAGATTTTCTTTGATTTTATGACGTTCCTCTATCGTTTGCTATGTTTATTTGTTCTTATTGAGTACTCACTAATTTGGATTATTTAAATCGTTTAGGACATGGAAGGTATGGATGAAGGCGAAATTGGACCAGATCAACCACAAATAAAGTCGACTGCGCAAAAGCGACGTGATCGACGTTTGCGTATGAAGAATATGCTGTCAGTTATGAAACGTGGTCGTTTCCATGAGATTCAAGAAATGCAGCGTGAATTTGTTGCAAGAAGCGGTGGAGCACAATAAAGAGAATATAAAGGCATCTCATTTTCATGTTCGGAATGTATGTGGTTTTGAGATTTTCCTGATAAATCACACTTTACATCATTGACTGCTATCGCCACAGATTAAAATCCCTTGTTTGTATGTTGCGGGTTAATCCTTTTCTAGCTGTCTAACCTCATATCCGTTATTCTTATGTTCTTCACTTTGTCGTTATACTTATCTGTCATCGTTCTTTTCAAAATGTTTTCTTTGTAACCTTGCTATCGAGGTTGATTGAATGTTGGCCTTGCTGACACTGTTTTCTTTCTTTATGTTGTCTGATATATCCAAATGATAAATTGAGTACTATATGTTGATCCGATGTTCTGAGGTTATTCTTATCGCTATTGGTCAGGGGCAAAAAAGGCAACGAAATTGCGCCAATACGGACCTTGTTACTTTCGTCTTCAGGGAGTCATGGGTATACATGTAATGCCATTTGATTTGCAACAACAGCGGAAACAGTACCGTGCCCCATTCAAGGTGAATTCTAGGATTATAAAATCTTTCAGTAACACCTCAATTTTCTGAGAAAGCACATGGTTCATTATCAGTTTTTTTTATTTTTGCGTGCCAGAAACAAAACAGAACGAAAAATCTAGTGTGCGTCTTTCATGCATGTTAGGCAAAGTTTCTCACTGCAAAAGAAGTGGTGAAAACGATAAGCATAGTTTACGTTAGGTTCAAAGATTGAACCATCCACTAAAGCGCTCGTCAAATGTCCGGATTAAAGGTCAAGTGCTAGTATTTTCGAGATTCCAGTGAGCAGCGTCATCAAATTCATCACAATTCCCTTTTTCAAGATCAAACAAGCGCGAAATGTACAGACGGTAATATTGCCTAATATAAGTCATTCAGGTGCATCTTGCACAATGGAATCCCACATCGGACTTGCTTGCACTAGCCTCACGAAAAGGTGAAGTGATGGTGAAAAGGAATGCATGGAAACGGTGTTGGAAAGTAAGTGCGCGAAGTTTGTAAGAAAAGTTGCATTGACTTTTTGTTCATTCATCCCTAGGTGAATGTCTCGGAATTGACTTCATTCCCGGAAACTCAGTGCACAAAACCGGCGCTGGTAGAATCTATGACTTGGTCTCGTGATGGAGCCATTTTGGCAGTGGCTATGAACGATGGACATCTGCATCTGATTGAGGCTGAGGAGGGAGTGGTGCGATGGTCCAGAAAGTGGGTTCGCTTCCTTCTTTGAAATCCATTAGTTTATGCTCTTTTCAAGTCTGGGACCGAGCACATGCGCTCAAAAAATGCGATGGTTCTGGAGTGGAAAGCCACCATCGACGAAGGCTGAGTTGGCTGAGAATTTTGTAGACCGATCCTATTATGACGAAAGCAAAGCTGTGGTACTTTTGTGCAGTCCTTTTTTGCCTTGAATGTTCCAGACGTTCAAGTCATTCATGATAGAAAAAATCGATTAAGGCAAGTATCTTTGGCAATGGTGAAGACATTATTGATGAGCGTATAAGCAAAACGCTCCTTTACGAGAATCTCTACAGGAAATCACTGCGAGGAACTCTCCTATTTATGGTTAGTCAAACTTTGTAGTTAGTCAGGTTGAATTTCCACGCAAGAGAGAACCCGACTGAACGACATTCGAAGACTTGTAAAAGACTTATGATTTCATTGTTACTCAGCATTGCTAGTTTCATGGACAAAAGCACAACCTAAAAACCGTCATCGTTTAATTCTGCACTTTGTCTAGATTCGGGATGATCTGGTTGTACTGGCCCTAGCAGGTGGACTAATACCAGTCACTGAGATACGATTGGCGGACAAGCTAGGTGAGTTTCCCACCTTTATCTTTCTTCACCATTGTTGTCATTTTCTTCGGTTCTTTTGGCGGAACACTTCTCCCAAGCTTTATTATGCAGACCACGATGCATTCGTTTTACAGCACATTTGAAACTTGATGTCATAACCATATATGACGTCCTGTATTCCCAAAAAGATGGCCTTACCATAGCCGTTACCGATTATGGACCACGCCCAAAGCTTAACGAGATAGACCGCGATGTAAGCTTATTCTTTTCTTTCCATCCAAAGTATGTAATGTACATTGTTTCAGACAACAAGTAAACGCAGCTCTGCTCGTTTATCTGGAGAGATTGCTGATCCACTGAGATGTGAAAGTGCTCTTTCTGCAGAGAAGGTATCTAGGAATCATTGCAAAAATTTTTATCGGCACAGTTTCTCTAGAAATTTGGAGTCCCAGCATTCATACCCGATTCAATCAGTTGTCCGCATACCCATCTCGTCAACATTGGATTCAAATTAGAAAACGAAAAATTGCTTTGGGAACTTCTTCTCAGGCAAGCCCCCAGCGCCTTTTGTAGCGCCCTAAATCAGATTAGTTCAGATTTCTTAAAATGTACCATTGTTTGCTGCACTTCACTTACTCTGTAGAAATGTCGAAGAAGGATTGGGATTCAGAAAGCAAGGTAGGATCTTGACAATTCGCAGATTTTCCTGTAAAAATGTGGTATTTAGATCTTTGCAAATCGACTAAATAGCAGCGCGCGTGATCTACGACTTGGCGATTCGTTGCTGAATTGTATGCTGGGTGGATCACCGGGACCATTAGCAGACAGGTACTGCAATAGTGTGGCCGATGGAGACATAAGGGGTGTAAATATTACATATATTATACCTGCCCCAAAATCGTGCTTGTTCTTCGTGCAAACATCGAACTAGCACTCTAAATGAACGGGCTACAAAGCGTATACTAAGAGGATTTTATAGAAAAAAAAAACTAACATTTTTTCTTTCTTTTTACTTTTTGTTTTTGTTTTACTTATACACTCAACGTGCATCAGGAAATGGAAAAAAAAGAATAAAAGTAACAAACAAATCAGTTATTCTCAACCTCAGAAGCGTAAGTGTGATATGAGAACAGGGTGACGAACCACGTAACTTGTCTAGTCAGAGCAAGAGTAGTTATAGAATTATTGAAACCTTTTCAAGCCAGTAATTGTAACTTTTTGGTGGCCATCGCTGGTTTTCGATTTATTGAGAGAATGTCTCTTTTCTACTCAAATAAGTTTAAGCACTAAATAGTAAATTTAGAGCAAATCCACTATTCAGCGCATTGCTGTACTTTTGTAGATATGGAAAATACATGGAGATTAATGGTGGTTCAGGATTTTTTTTTCAAACTTATGGTCGCAATTTTTCTCAATAAAGGGACAAGTATCTTTAGTTTCTCAGTTTTTTGTAACACAATTCGTCGACAAATTTTCTTTTGATCTTCTAGATTTCATAAACCTATTTCAATTATTCAAAGAGAACTGAATTATAGGACGTCCGCGCAGGGCGCGAAGAGTGCGCAAGGTGTGTATCGCGCGTCACTCCTCTTTCCTCGTGCACTCTCGCTGCCTGGTTTTCTCTGCGCTTCTTCCAGTCGTGAACAGCCTTCAATGTACGCAACAGCATTGCTCTCCGTGTGCAGCGCGAACGGCCTATACTTGTTTTTTTTTTGCATATGGAGACCTCTTACAAAACTCTTTTTCAGATGGCTGGAGCGAACGCTAGGAGTCGTGGGAATACATTCAATGCGTGAATTTGTGGAAAAGAGGTTCAGGTAAATCACATGGTCTTCTCATCACATCTCCCTCATTTTGCCTGCACTCTGTGGGGAATTTTTTGAGGGAGGGGGAGAGAGGGCGGAAAGTTTTTCTCAAGGAATTTGAGATGTTTGCGTAAATTTTTTGTTCCTCCTTCTCCTTCACTGCTTTTGGACTCATCACTGCACAGCCTATGTCGAACAATTCCAGTGGTCTTGTGGCATTTTTACGTGGACAAGTGTCGGCTTCAGCGCGATCCCTCGCTTATCAAATGGATCAGTTTGGGGAGATTGTTAAAGAGCTGCAGGATGCAAGCACTAGCTACGAGTAATCAGCATTATTTGACCTCGACTCATGGTTACTCCAAAATCGCAATTTAGAACTACTTCGTTCAAGCAGCCTTATGCTGTTCCAAGTCTGTCGCCTGAAGTTGAACAGGTCGATTCTATGGAAATTCCTGATGTCGCAGCTGATTGTGCTTTTGATGCATTGGATCAAAGCAAAGCGCTAGCCGTAGTGAATCGGTTACATATCGATGGTATTAGAATCCAAGCCAAATGCGACGAAATGATGTTGGCAGCTGTAAATAATCTGTAAGCAACTTATGCCGCTTTTTAAGTGTTTGTATTGTTAGGGGAGCTTATAATTGCAGGCGAGAATTATCACATTTGGTACGATGGATGTCTTTACTTACGCCTTTGCTTAAAAACACCAAAAGACCTGCACAAGTTATCGAAGAGAATCGCAAATGGGATGTAGCAGAACTTCTAGAGGTAATTTTGAGCTCAATAAATTCCCTCTGCCATAGCTGTAAAGTACTTCTTCCAGTACATAGTCAAGACATTTGTGACAGAGCCTGTGGAGCGCGAACGTTTGACAAAGTCGCTGTTCAAAATAGAAGATATATTGAAGGTACGGAATGAAAAACCGTTTAATACATCACCTCTTTGACTGAGGGTGAAAATGAGAAGAGGTCTATAGCCACACCCATTTTTGGCTCATTCTAGCCCTCTCAAGTTCGTAGAACCACTTAATTTTTAATTTCCAGGAAATGCGGGCTGAGGAAACCAAGCAGAACCTCGATGTAGATGAGATCATGAGAGACATCACTGAAGAATGTTCACCTGCTAAAGACAGAGATGATCGTTCACTTGGAGAACTTCTAGCAGCCGGTCGTAAAGTGAGGCAGCATGGTCAGGGTTCTGAGATTTTAAAAGGTTGTTCAGGGTATCAGTTCCGTTACTGATTCTCCATTGACGGGAGCAACTGATACCACTCCGCGTATGAATCCGGGCCATCGCCCACTGCATGCTGATTATGTACTTGATAAGGTGAGGATCAAATTCATTATTGTGAAGTCTATAAAGGATGGCATTGAGACCAAGTGTACCCCGACCATTTTCTTTGAATAAATTGTTGTCATGGTAACAATTTTGATAAGTTAGCAATATAAAAATTGCACTGCGTATGACAATCAAGCGCATAATTGGCGAACGTAGCGAGAAGGGAGTGGGAACGCCTTTCAAGAATAAAGCGCGAGCTTTTTGAAATGTCCTGAGCAGGGAATGGTCAGAAATTAACCCAGCCATACCAAACATGCTGTATATCATCGGCCTCGTCTTACCTGATCACAAATATATGTTTGTTATCTGCCAAGCCACTATCTGGGAGGAGTTATGAGCGTTCAAATGTGCGATCTGTCAAGTGTTCTGTGGCGCATATTGCACGAAGTAGTCTTCAAAAACACATTTAAATTTTTGGGAAGTGTGCTTCTTACTTGTTACTGAATCAACCATAGCCACTCTTAATCCGCGCAATGAGGCTGCCTTTCAAGGAAATATGTTTGTCGAAATCGACAAATTTCTCATATTTGAACGCTTATAACTCCGACAGCTGATTTGCAAATAATCAGAATCTCTCAAAATTTTGCAAAAGTCCCAATTAGGCTTGCAAATCATTTTCGCGGGCGTCATTGCCTTCCTCACTCAGCTTACTTGCGCTGTCTTACCTCATCAGCTCATTTAACCCCTGCCATCGATGAGGAGTCATTCGCTAAAAAATCGCTAAACAATGGAAATGTTTTGAGAATTCAAGTTGACGAAAATTTCGAAAAAAAAAAACTGTAATTTTTTCTCTCACTAATTTGCTCTTCACAATGTGTTCAAAAGAGGTTCAAAACGTAAATCAGTCGTCGCCATGCTAATATGTGGCTTGAAAATTTAGATGGCTTCACATGCCGTTGAAAAGTTAGAGAGACAGGGACTACTTTGTTGCTGTTCGACGCTGTCAGCAAATTTTTGGGTACTAGATAATGTACTTTGGTAACTGAGAAACAAGTGAGGATTTTTTGAGATAGCTGTATAACTTTTTACATGTCTCTCTTCTCCCTCCCAGGAATTCGCTATAATTATCGTTTTACCGGGTTTCTGTTTTATTGATGCGTGGCACTTCTGATGAGTATAATCCGGACCAAATCATGTGATTATCGTATTCATGCAAAGTACTCGAATATTTGTTTGTTAGTTGATTTTTAAGAAAACTAGAACCTTGTATGTAATTTTTTGAGGTTCAGAAATCTCATTTTTAAATAATATGGTTTTTGCTTACTCTAAAATATGAATTTTCGAATATATTCGATACAAAATCCAGCTCTCATCCATTCGATCAGGCGATCCATCATGTCTGGTTGTGCGTATCATGGTCTGCAGAATCATTTCTTGAAAGGATTTGGAAAATATTTTTAGAAGTGGACTAGAGAACTTCAGATCCTCGAATCTATGAACTTCCCGACATTTTTTTCACGTCTGCCCTTTATGCGATTTTTGTCATCTTTCTTGTGTCAGAATGAATATGAATAACAAATTTAACCTGAATATTTATGTATTGCATCATATAAGTCTGGAGTGAAAACATATGTTTGTAAAAAAGTGTAGAGAGCATGGAAAATACATAGTTAAGCAGTAAATTATTTTTCTGCACTTTTCAGGTCCACACATTTTGGGAAGAAAGTTTGGACGCATCCGCTCTTGAATTGCTTGGCGACAGATTCGCGATTGAAGGCCTTGGCGGAGTAGTTGCTTCAACAAATAAAAGTCTCCAGACGATTGTTTATGAAGCTATCCGCATAGTCCAAGCAGCGAGTTTATTAGCCATACAGAGTAACGCTAATGCGAGTGTGGTAAGTCGTTTAAGCGCAGTTTTTGTTACTCGTGGGCTATGTTGGTGTCTCCAGAATTGGATCTATGAACTAGCATCCGATGCTGCCCACTGCGGTTTCGATACTGTGAGATTATCTACGTTCCAGTGGACCGAAGCAAAAGACCAGGACAGCTACGAGAGAAAACTGTTGACTTTGAAAGGAAGAGATTTAGAGTGAGTAAAAATCAAGTAATCGTCACAAATGACAACGCAGTTGTTTCTGCTGGCTGGCATCATCAAATTTTTCTCCGCAGCTTGAAACATTGAGCCATTGTTGTAGTTGTAGAATCACTCTTCCCAACAGATGACATCTCAAATTCAAATTTGTTTTCGGTTTAGGGGCGCAATTACCGTATCCGCAGTTTCTCGTGATGGTCTAATTTGCGAATGCATAGTGCCACATGCCTTCGGAAAACTCAAAGCTGGAGCTCAGCATGAAACCAGCTTGGTGGTAGCAATGCAACCAAAGGTAAAATGCGGAATTAGTGATGCAAGCTGTTGTAGATTGGGAGGAGTTATAGATAAGTATAATTTACTATGTCTGTTAAGGGTGTTGTAGAGACGAAACCGGTGCAGACTGACACAGCACAAAAGGTTGATCAGTTACCAGAAGAAGGGCAGCTACAGCTGGTGACAGACGAGGTAAACAAGGCCTTTTTCTTTTCTTCTCTCTTATGTTATATACAAAAACAGTAATCAGTGATCTATATCCTCCAAATCATCATCACGTCTCACTCACTTACCATTCAGAATATGTTTGTAATAATTTCCAGAATGTCGTCTTTGGAGACATAACCAAGTTTCTTTCGGTCGATACCTATGCGGGTGGCTACGTTTATGCATTGGCGAGTTTCAATTTTCTGTCAACATAATCCAAACTTGTTTTTAACTCAAGCTTTCAAAATCAGTAACATGTTCAGTTCCTTGTTCGGAACTTCTGGTATCTCTCGAAAAATCTCAAAGTGAAAGTGAATTTATATGTTAAATCGCTTTTTTAGGCCACATTTAAATCCGAAGCAGGAGAGGTAAACCGTTTGATGCGAAAACATCCTTCTATGGACGCATGGCTAGTACATAATGTGAGACATAGTATCAAATTATTTTGGAGTGGAATAGATATGATTTTTTCTAGGCACTGCTATCAGAAGTAGCCGAGTCAGCAATGTTGTCCACAGATCGTAAACAGGGATGCATAATCTCCGAAGAAGGCACACGTGTAGCACTTTTCCGTGTGCAAAATACCATGCTTGAAGAACAACCACCAACATTGCTTGTAGAAGCTTCTCCTCATCGTCCAGCTTTACAGCTATTGTCGCACCACCATCTACGATAGCATGGTTGTTCCGAAATGGGTGCAATCAGAAACGGGTTACTATTATAGTTTTTGTAAAAATGAGTTCGTATTGAGCGTGTGACGACATAATTCAAGACGCGGGAGAAGGTGTTCATTCTTTATGTTTTCTTCATGTATCTTATATCACAATGTCGTTGAAGTAAATTGCTTGATGAATACTGATTACAACCCTGATTACTTTGCAGCAGTCTTTTCGAACGTTAAAAAAATAGAATTCCTAGCAAATATTGCTAATGCCTTTTACTCCATTTCTTCTAAGCTCGACTGATGCGCCCCAATTGTTTGAGTCAGTAACAAAGGCTTAAAGGGAATGTTTCATAGTAACTTTCACTTCATTTTGTTTGAAATTCGATAAAGTACATTAATTTTAGCTTGCAATTGAACAAATTGTGTTGAATGCAAAATTTTTCAGATCTTCGGCAATGTCGATGCATGTGAAGTACAAAACAATACAAAATATTAGCGAATTTTCAGTTGTTATTAGGTTGATGCAAAAATAAGGCCGATTTGCGAATTTTCACTTTGCCGTGCTATAAGTTTTTTCCGCATGCGGTAACGATCATCAGAAGCAGCAAACCATCTGCAGTACATCGCACACTGAGTTATACAAATATCACAAACGGGCAGAAAAATATGGATTGAAAAACAAAAAGGTTCTTCTGATAGGACGTTGTCTTTGACAATTATAACTTCCTTCAAAACTTGTTAGTATAAATGTTAAGTGGGCCCTCTTGTAGCTGCAAGCCAGTAGTACAAAACACAATAAAGAGAATTGGGACAAAATAGTTTGCGAGAAAGAAAAAATCAAAATCTAGACTTTCTCAGTTTTTCCAACATTTTTTCAGTGTGCCTCAAAGTCACGCATATAGAACTTTCCAATTTTCTAAGCAGTGAACAGCTGGATATTTTTGCAAAAACTGCTAATAGGATGCCCTAGCATTATGCTTACATATTGGGTTGTTTCTAAAGTTTTACTCGTTTTCGAACTTTGACTTTGATTCACCTTAACTCTTCTCAGAAATAATCTCAATTGCTATAAACTGTATTACAGTTTGCTTTTTCTCGACTATTCTGCGTACTCTTTAAGGTTGTTGCAGTAACAGTGGAGAAACTTTTATAGGCGAATCGAGGAATATCTCCTTGTAATCTTCACTTTGCAAAAGCATAACTTGATTCGGAATATAGCTGAGTTGCACAAGCACTGCTCACAGTGTAGCCCATAGTCGACTGAGCAGTACCGCTGACTTTGGATTTCATCAAACTCTTTCAAGGAAATTTTGTGCTGAAAAATGCGAAAGTACCCACTTACATATTTTGTTCTTTCCGAGGCGGCAAAAAATGCAATTTTTTGACATTTTTGATTTCGCCGTTGACAAACCAGAAAATCTTTTCGTTCTTATAGTGGCAGTTGTTCTAGCTCTAATCTTACTATATAGAGTAGAAGTTCCGCAATTGCAATATGTTTGTGATTTTTACGCGACTTGAAGGGACCATAAAGACAGGTTATGTTTAAGCTAAAAATTTGCAGGTTCAAAATTTTTCTGATCATATCTCGATGAGCTTTCGTAGCACAAGTCTCCGGCAAACATTATGCATGTTTCAAAAGAAATCTTTTTTTTGGCTGTAGATTTCACGGCGATAGAGCAAAGACGAAAATTTTCACATTTGTTTCGATGTCTTTTCCAAGTACGCAACACGCAGCGAACTAAGATCTATGAAAAGTAAATATGCCTGAAAAACTAGAAGAAAAGGGCTTTTGAATGATATAAGCACTTTTATAAAAAATAGTTTCTTCCCCCAAAATCGGCAGTTCAAAAAAAGGTATCGAAAACGGGTAGAACTTTTGAAACAACCCAATAATTGAGCAAAGCTTTGCCGAATGACTTCTTCAAAAGAAATTTATGGGTCATAAAATGACCGCAACGTCTACCGATGTTGTTCATTGTCTATTATCAGTATTTTTTATAGTATTAGGTTGGTGCAAAAATAATGGCCGATTTTCCAAACCTTTTTTTCAGGTCAATTTTTCCCCTCAAAATTTCTCCTTTGGAATAGATATACCACACCTCTGAGAAGCTACTTTCATGCTCTATCTAATGTTGGTTGAAGCGGGTTTTTACCCTCATCTGTTGTAAAGTTAGTGAGCTACAAATAACAGCATCCAAATTTGGAATTTTGTTGCATTCACTTTTCTGGCCGGAATTCGAGTGCCTATGGATGGCGCTATTTCGAAAATTTAGCTATTGTATGCCATAGAATTCAAAGAATTTCTTCCAAATCATGCGTGATGTGACTGAAAAGCCTGTTAACTTCTGACCCGCAGCTGCACTCGAGTTTTGCGATTTGCGCTCAGAAATTACAGGCTGTCGGACATGCCTCTGACTGCAACTCTTTTCGCAGCTGGCCTCACTTCTGCGGAGATCGCCACGTTTGGATGATGGATCTAAAAGATCTGTGAGGCATTACCTCAAAAATGTTTGCAGTGGTCAAAGATTTGGTCTACCACATACGACCATACTTCAAAGTTACTTATTCGAAAAATATTGCATTTTTAGGGGCAAAAAAGGATCGATTTTCTGAAATTTCTGAAAAAATTTTTTGTTTGCATGTGGCACTCAAAGGCTTTCGTGCCTGAGATAATCCTGCACGAATAAGCCACATTTTGCCTTTTTCCGTTCTGCGGTGGACCGCAGTGAGGTGCTGAAAGGCCAAAGACAAAAGGCAAATATTAGGCTGCTGCATCAGTTCTGTCCGTTTTGAATTTTTTTGAATTCAAAATGTCATACCTTCTTTCAAAGTTAACTTTTTTTCCGTTACCTTAGTTTCTATGTGTTAAGCTGTTTCTTGGCTATCAGGCTCATATTGAAAACTGCGAAAATCCTTGTTAAGGAAGAAGCAAGAACTCAAGAACTTCACAACGTTTTTCTTCAAACCTGTCTTTGACATGGCAATGCTCCCTTATGATAATTGGTAGGCATCTAATCTAGCAATGGATAGATAGAGAGATTCTCGTAGATTATTCTGCAACCTAAAAGAAACCATAGGGTCTGCGTTGCTGAGAGAATTTGACCGAGCGAAAAGAAGCCACTTTTTGACCTCGCTCCAGCGCATGTGTGCATGCCTATTTATGAATTATGAAAATTTTACAGCGGACTTGAGCGCTGAAAAAGTGTTTGGTGGATGAGCCCTGCTAGCCCTTGCTTTACCTTAGCACCTCCAACTTGTACTCATCGATTACTTCTATTCACAGAAAAATATTGCTTGCAAAACATTTATACAAAAAATTAATGTTCGACAATATATTTTGCAAGCAAGAAGTTTTCTTTGGAACTGAACTTGTGCACATACTAGTCTTCTACACCATTATTCGGCAACCAATGAAAGAACTTGACTTGAAGAGCGCATTGTAGAGATTTCCTCGCAAGAACAATTTCTTGGGTGAGAGCGCACCTCGCCCACTTGGAGATCAGAGGTGCAATAGGTGGAGCCGGGAACCCCAAAAGTAAAGGTGGTTCCAGCTACCCCTGGCCGGCCAAAAGTAAAGGTGGTAGCGCCGGACACTCACCTCCCAAAAACGTCGACCGGGGGGGGGGGGAGGAAGCACAGCTCGACTTCTCTTCTCGCAAAAAATTCTTTCTTAAATGTTCCATTAACATTATATTCGTATTTTCTTAAGTAGATTTTGCTATAAAGTACTGCGAAGAAAGTAGGTCGATTCAAGGAATAAGCACACCGAGAACCAGAATTTTGAATAATAAAGTAACGAAAAATCATGCGAAATTTCCACTGTTATAACTCTGGTGATTAAAGATGTCAGCAATTGCGACTCTTTAGTTCTGAAGGACAAGTGTTGTTCTAGATAGTAAAAGAATTAGGTCGGTCTGAGCAGTGGCCGTCGAGAACGAGAATTTTAAGGAATTAAGCGATTTTAGGTTACTTAGTGACAGCTGACGTTTAGACTCCTGTAAATCTGGAGTGTGAAGGTGTGCAATGTTGCGACCTCAAAGGTTTTGTCGAGTAAGAATTGCTCTATCGGACTTTGTCTTAGCCGTACCGATCCATCGAGATACCGCCGAGATTCAGGCTCTTAAATAGACGGGTAAAAAACCGCTTTT